CCCTGTCGAAATTCTGTCTACTCACAGGACAAGATCACAGTTTACATCTCAGTTTACATCTCAGTTTGGGAAGGTCTCAGTTGAACATGTTTCTAGGCTGAGGAATCATCAGACCAAATCAGGCCCTGGGAATGGTTTCTGGGTGTTGTTGGTCTCTGGGGGCTAGCTGAGTGCTCCCGACCTACCCCAAGTCAAGTTGGTTTTCTTTGGCTGTGCTGCTGTGCTGTAGGGACAAACACCAGCAATCCCAATTTACTTGCATTTTATGTTGTTACTAATGTTGGTATGAATGCTAGCAGGAGTATATTTTATTAAAAAATGGCTGCTTATGATTTGGGTTTTAAAAAGTAAAATTGTAGGAGGAATTGTGATGAAGCTTAAAGTAGATAATTCTGTTATTGCAATTATAAGAACATACTCCTGTCTGTATTTTGCAGACTTACATGTTAATTAATATTTCAAATCCTAGAATAAGCCATCCTACTACATATTGCAGCCCTATGGTATTTAGCAAATAATTTCTTTCTTCCAGACATCTTGAAAGTTGTGAAAGATGTTTTTATTATCACTGTATATGCTCATTGACTCATACCATGCGTGTACATTTCTATAAACATAAAATAGTTCAACTGTCCTTTTTGAAAATTACACAACTTCTTATTTTCCTGTTTGTTTAGTGCTGGTGAGCTAATTGGCTACAGGTTGCAAACTTGTCTGCTTTTGTGGCAGTGTTTTGTCTTTATAAGACTTTTTAGAAAGTGCTGTTTAACTGAGAGCTTTTGAGTTGTGTGAAAGCAGAACTGCATCTGCTGGTTAAGTGTCTTCTTTGTTTTAACAGCTCCACAAAAATCCCTCTCCACTGTTACAGCAAAACATCTATTTACTGCATAACCGGGTTTTGTCCACCTTTCAGAAACTGCTGCGTGTATTTTCTCTGTTGAATTTTTTTAAGTGCATCATGTTGGGACCATATAAAACATATGAAAATAGAAAACAAAACCAAAAACTACCTGGCATGATAGAGTATTGTCTTTATCAAGTACTGGACAAAAAGGTCCATTTTCTTTTTCTTAAGAACCTTTATATAATAAAAGCCATTTGAATTACTTTTTCTCTGCAATTAATACTGTCTCAGATATTCAACAGATATTTCTTAAGTTCATTGGCAGTCTTGCATTTTCAAAATAAACAGAACAGCCTTGATATCTGTAATATCAAGTTTTTGTGATCACTGAATAAATAGGTAGGATAAGAGATAATATGACACAGCCTTAAATAAGTAGAGGTACCTTAAGTTCTGTTTGGATCACTTTAAAAGTTTTTCTATCCATTTTTTTCAGTTTTGTTTCCTTGCCTAGTCAATTCATTATCAGATTCTTGTTAATTTTCCAGATGAAACATATGAATTAAATATGTGTGAAAAATGACTGAACAGCTGAACTGATCAAGTCTGTCAGAAGTTCCTTAGAGGGAGCTACTAAAGCTCTTAATCCTAACATGCTCTTAGCAAAGCCTTTAACATCATGCCTTGCATACCCAAACAATCCTCTGCTTGCTTTCTGTAACGTTAACATTGGTTTGTGACATGATGAAGAATACCAAGCGACTTCTTCAGATGGTTTCAGGCCATAAAAGCTTTAAGGCAGGAGATAAAACTATGGTCTTCTCTTGTTACAAAGTATTTTGACAGTCAAACTGGCATTCCCAAAAATTAAAGGATATTTTTAATAGTTACGGGGGATAGTTTTTAAACCTTTTTGATAATTGTGTTGGGGTTGTGCTTTAGGCTTTGAAGGGCAGAATTAATATTCAGTGCAGGCCTTTAATTGGAAAAAAGGTGAAATTTTAAAAAACAATTATCAACTCCCTTTTTGTTTCAGTTGATGATTGCTTGGACTACATTGAAATTAAAGAACATCCAGTAAACTGTTGTTTCTTTTGCTAGGTAAAGTTAAATTAATTCAGAAGATCAGAGGTGTAGTTCAGTAAAAATAAAGTGACACTTATTAAATTGTTACTAAAGTTAAATGAGATCTTTTTATCAAGGTTTCTGTGTTTTGGCATGGTTATTGCCCTCTGCAAAACAGAATTACCTTGAGTAAAATGAGCCAGTGGCCTGAAGAAAGTTCCAAACTTTCCATTGTATTTTAATCAAATAATCTTATCTATTTCTGATCTTAGTGGTTACTCATATTTCTTTAGTATGTGTCTGCTATTGGTCACATATTTGTTTATGCTTACATGACACTGGTATCAGGACTTATTATTATATTACTGTGGTTATATTATTAGTAAACTCAACCTGGTCCTTGGTTGCTAATCAAAAACAAGATAATGCACCAGATGCTTAACAAAAATAGCTTTCTTTTCCTTTCTAAGGCAAAAAAGTTACTCCACACTGCCTGAACACTATGGTATAATTTACATATGTACACACAAATTCGATGATTTTATGTCAGACAAATTCACACAAATTAGTATTTCTATTTGAATTTTCATCTTTAAGTGAATGTTACCACAGTGAATTGGTAAAAGTGATAAAGATGCATCACCCGGACTAGGGCAGATATTTTCCTTTTTCTACTTTATTGTTAGTAGGAAGTTTGATTTGCTTTGGGTTTTCCTATTTATACATCAGTATTACACACAGAAACCAAAGTGATTTCTGCTAATGCATTTCTGTCAGTGGGCTATCTTTTGCATCATCCGTTGTTAATTTGGAATCTTCCTTTTGTTAACTCTCAGTATCACTAGGAAAGAAAAATGGCCTTGCTACTAAGCTTTAGCACTTCATTGAGTTTGGTGTGGGCAATCCATATGACTTCTGCTGGGGCACCTTGTGTCTCTATAGACAGAAATGTTAATAGTTTCTTCCTTTTACAATTTTGTTCTGATTGTTCAAGTTTGCAATCTGTCCGTATGCTTATACAGAGATCCCCATTATGAATGGCATTCAACAGAAAATTCCAGAAGATGTTTATAAAAGTAAATAATACTTAGCTCAAGCAGATGGAGACTACTGACTTTCTTCTTTCACTGTTCAAAACCCTGATAATTTGAGATATTTTTTTCTAAGGAGCTTAAGGGAAAAGAGACACAAACATCTTGAGCTGTCACTGACTTTGTGTCTTGATGGAAATGATGATAAAACCATCACTGGTGAGAACAGGTTAGCTAGAGGAATGATGTCCCCAGTGTGTCCAACGTGAGCATGAGAACCGTGACCCTTGGAAGGATAGTGTTCCACAGTGAGCTAGACTGAACAATTTCAGTAATTGTCTCAAGTGCTTGTGGTTTCTAAGAACCATTATCTTGTGTAAAAAATTATGTGTGTAGAAATATTAATATTTGGAGGAAACATAAAATGTTGGTTTTTCTGTGAATTGAAAAGGTTCATTTTTCATTTCACTAATAATTCCATTATTAGCACTGTGCAGATGGTCTGGGGATGTTTTATAGGTACTTTACAAGCAAGGTAAAGTCAGTGAACATCATTTCTCATAGTTGCCTTTTGTTCAGGAAAAATCATGTAAACTGGAGGAGGCAATACAATATCTTGGACTTATTTAAAATACCAATCTTTTTGCTTAAGTAAAAACTAATTTTTTAAAGTGGGTTTAATTCAACACCAATAAATGTGAGCATCTTATTCTGAGAAATGAGTAACTTTTGCAGCAATATGAAACTACTGTGATGAGAATATTGTCTGATGAGTGGTCTTTAAAGTGTGATATAAAAAGCAAACAGAGAAGAAGAAGAATACATTTAACAGCAATGTTTAGAATCAGTGTGAATGGAGGAAGACTAGAGAGGTTGATTTGGTAAGAGCTGGACTTGGACTAGGGTTTATTTGAGTAGAAGTGAAGAAAATTTGCTGTAGAACTGTGTAACAAACAACCAAGCAGTTAATGATGTCTCCCTAGATGGGGGAAAGAAGCAAAGGAGTTGAAGATGAAACTGAGATTGAATCCAGGGGTTTTGTGACTCTGAGGGAACAGGAAAAGGAGGAATTTGGATAAGGATGCTAAACAACCACTTTCAGCTCCTGTTAATTGGTACATGCTCTGTTGTCTTCATTCCCAGCAGCTGAGAATATGGCTGTTGAGTTTCAGCTTTAATGCTAGGTTTAAATTGGCAGGGAGATGTCAGGATAAAATCTCTGCAGAAATAGGTGGAGATGAAAGTTTGAGGTTATAGATCCCGAATTCCTGGAAGTGGGATTGTATCATGGTCCACGGAGTTGTAGAGGCAACTTAGGGAAGATGAGTTACCTATGAAGAAGTGAAAAAGAAAAAACCTGAAAGAAAAAGCAAAGAGAGAAGAAGAAATCCACCAAAAAGGCCAAAGGAAGGTTAAAAAGAGATTGGAGCTTTGAAAAGTAAAGAATTTGAAAGCATCCTAATTGTGACATTAACTACAAAAGGAAAGCATACAAATAAACTGAGGGGAGAATAAAAAATAAAGGGTTTTAGGGTTTTTCTTTTCTCAGTTTAACAGAAAACAGATATATTTAATGATCTGAGCAAAACATAATGTAATATAGAAAGCAACTGAAACGTAATAAAAACTCCTTCAATAATTACTATTTTTAGAAAGATGTTAGGAAACGTAAAGGTTCTGTTTTGTCAGAAATGTATATATTTTACTTCATAGTTCAAATATTGACATCTCAGGGTCTTTTATACTTTGTTGTATTTACATAGAGAAAGCTACATGCTAAAAAATTATTTATAGAATGACTCTAGATTTAAGTTACTGCATTTAGATAATGTACAAAGAAACCAAATAGACAAAGATTCTGGAATAAGTTATTAGTCTTGTACTAGGTAGTTTTCTTATTTTCTCCGCATAAAAATGTAGATTAGTAAGGAAATATATGTGATGTAAATATATATTTGTCATATACTTTCCCGAAGGTTGTAAACATGGTATTATATTCTTCAGATTGGCTTTATTGTCCAATAATTCTTTAATTAAATTGAGCTCTTTTTTATTTAAAGCTGTCTTTTGGGGAGATATTGCCTTAGATGATGAAGACTTAAAAATCTTTCAAATTGACAGGACGATTGACCTTACGCAGCACTCCAACGAAAGACTTGGCCATAACACAGGTATGCTATTTCAAACTTGTTTTAATTTATTTTTCCTGTTAGTTAATTCTGAAGACAATTTGTGTTTTAAATGTGGAAAGTCAGTATAATGTCTTGGATAACTTTAGTTTACACTTAAAAAAGTTGTTAAACAAAAGCTATAGATTCACATTAGGGAAAAGAGAAGCAAAACATTAAATTTTATTCCAGCATTTCTGTTTACAAATGTCTTGTTGAATTGAGGAGCAGAAACTTGTAGGTAGATTAGAGTCTACTCTGCAGGTGGTCATGTGGGAAAGGAAATTGTACAAAGCTTTGATTTCATCGCTGAAAGTTCCTGATGGCGGAGCCCAAACACACTATGGAGAACATATGTGGTATCCTGGAGGCAAAATTGGAAGCCTAGCATTGCAACCTCTCCTTTTGCTTTTTTTTTTTACTGTTATGTCCAGCTCTGTACCCAGACCTAGATGAAGCACTAGAATGTGTTCATCATCCTTTCTAGACATGCCTTGTCTAAAAAACCAATTATCTATTTGAGATTTAATAATGTTTCTATGCTATTGTTAACATACAATGCATTAGCACCAGAAGCTGCAATCTGATTAACAGAGGCAGCTGGGTATTCAGACAGATAGATAAAGAGATTTTTTTAAATGTGTAAATGTCTCTTTTCAAGGGAGAAAACATAATCCATGCCTAAATGGATGTCTGTCTAATCTAAAAATATTTATGCTTTCAGGCTGTGATTAGTAAATTGATAACTGAGAATTTGTAAACTTTCAGGTTATGATACAAAAAAGCCAACTTACTGAGAAAAAGTCTGGAAAAAAATGTTATTAATAAATGTAAAAATTTATTACTGAAATTTGTTTTCAGTTAAGCATGTTTTATGTATGCCTGAACTGAGCTACCATAACTTATTCCTGATATGTGGAAAAAAAATTTCAGACCAAAGAATCAATTTTGAATTTAAGCTTTCAATATTGATATATTTAAAAATATTTTTATTCATTCTAGGTAGATACTGTGATTAGAGTATTTTTATGACAACTTGAAAATTTATCTCCTTTTTACATCTACTTGTTTTTCCAAAACAGGAAAACTTTTGATCACATCTAGATCTGGACTAGATCTAAAAATGTTAATAGAATTAGTGGTCTCTCTGCTCTCCTCTCCTCCAAACAAATAGTTTTAATTGCCTTTGAAGATATCTCAGGCACTAGTTTTGTTGAAAAATGTAGAACAACATCGGTCATTTCCCCTTGCCAGTCAAGTGATTTCTTTGGCTTGCTGACTCCCACTTCTTTTTGCTTTTCTACTTTTGAACTGCAAAATTGTTATTATTTTTTGATTTCCACACAAATACATAAATTTCTAAGCATTTAAAAATTATATTTAATTTTCTAATACTTAGTTTTTTCCTTTTTTACGTGTTTTGGGACACGCACATTATGTTTTCTTGTGGATGGTATCCTATTCAGGATATTGGATCACCCTGTTAAGTATTGCTAATGCATTTGCACCAGTTGTTTCTACCTTTACTGCACAACAAGAGTTGATTCAATTGTGATGATCAGTGGGACTAAACTTTGGAGAACAAACTCTCCTAAGTTAATGACTTCATAACTGCTCTCAGCAAACCCTCATCATTCTTGATCTTTCCAAAAAGAGCATTAGAGAAGTCAATTTTACACTTTGCATATGTAATATATTTTTCTAAATTTACAGCATTCTTGATGTGTAATCTTGGAATTGTGTGCTCATCTCTCCTAATTCCAAAAGAGTAAAATTCTAACTAGCTCATTAGTATTGGGTAGCAACTGGAAAAGGAATAAAAGCAATCCTAGGTATCTGTAATCTAGAATACAAAATTTAGTCGTTGTTACAGACACAATGGCAACGAATTGTAAGCTTGATTTCTGTGCACTTTCTATTGTAGATTTTCACAGCCTAAAGGTGATATCAGGTAGAAGGATTAGATACTTGGTTGTAAACCATCAAGAGGAAGTGATGGAGTCACAGTTGTTATTGAAACTCTAATTAAAATCCTGAGGCTCACAGGCTGTGATTCACATTGTGTGACTGCTCCTTTTTGTGAGGATTATCTGCCTGGATTTGCGGGGTTAGATAATCTGTGAGCTTCTTGGAGTATGTCTCTGTCATTTCATTTTTCATTTTGTACAAGCAAAATGCATAATCACTGTAAACAGAAAACAAGAGTAAACCTGATAACATTTATGTGTATAGTTTTATAAGTCTAGACTTCCAAAAGTATCCTCCTTATCCTGCCTGAATTATGAGAGGATGCAGCAAATAGGAATTAAAACTTCTTTAGTCTATATGGTTTGGCAAGGCTGCATGTGAGACAGCTTAGTTAAGTGAGAAACTTTTTTGGTTTTTCACTAAATTAAATACATAGACTGCAATAAGACAGAAGAGTGTTTTGGGTGGTTTTTTTCCCCTAAAAATATAGTATAACACTTAAGTAACTAATGGATTCTTTAGGGGTTTTCTGTTATGTTTGACAGTTGATGCTTATAATGATTTTTTAAATATTTATTTGGAATGCTTAGCTATAAGCCTTATTTTATAAGATGAATGTGAACATGAGAGACAATTACATTAATGATGATCAATGTTCTATCCTCTGCACTTTATGTTATAGTTACCCTGTAACTTGTTGGAAAGGAATGTGTTGATCTATTACCTCATATATTTAAAATGTTTTTAAAAATTTGGAAAATTTTTCTCAAGGGAGTCAGCAGCTATGTGTCAGTGTAATGCAAATAATTAGGCACGTTGTCATTCACTGAGCAGCCACACACTCACTTGCCTTATATGGAATTTTCTCATCTGTAATATGAATTTAAGTTGCTGCTTAAAAAATGTATTTTCTGCATAGATATTAAATTTTTTTATAGAAAGTTGGGAAAGGCCTTTTTAGTGGTGCTGGAAGTTTCAGTGGTCTGGTTTTTCTTATCTTTTTACTTTTTCAGTTGTTAAAGTAGTTTAGAAACTCTCTTGTCCTATAACAAGTAGTGACTTGTAAAATAGAACTTACTGCAAACCTCTAAAATCACAAAACTTTCAGAACAATTCTGAATTATTTAATTTACTCATGTAGTGTAGTCAGTGTTATTGCTTGTGCTTTACTGGTGTTTGAAAAGACACTTGTAGCTGCAAAAGGTTTATTTGTGAAGGGGGGATGTATCAGACCCAGATGCAGTAAACCCAGAAATGTGTTTTATTTCTGTAAATGGCATGGTAAATGTTAAAATAAACTTCTTCCTATCTTAGGCTTTCATTGACTGCTGTAATTACACAGACATATATGTGTATATACCTGCCAGGTCTTACTGCAATATACACCAGCATGTGATGTTTCAAGGCCTTAAAAGTGCATTGACATCTCTATTTGCATGCTAGCAAAGAAAAACAAATATTTCATGGCAAAATCAACCATATTAAATTTTGCTGGGTTGGTTTGTTTGTTTGTTTTCTGATGAAACTTTGGCTGTTTGCTTTTTCTCCTTCCCCTCCCTTGAAATGAGAAAATTATGGAATGCATTCAGGAAATTTCTTTGAGAGTAACCCTTTTAGCTGTCAATCAATATGGCTCTGAGGATGTCAAGGTCAGCAGGAAGAAAAAAAGCTCCAAATAATAATTAGATGATGTAATTGTCATGACTTGCCTGAATAACAAAGACATGTTGGCTTATATTCATGGAATGTGTATTAGAAAAATTTTCAGCTAATCATGTGTTTTTATCGCATTGTCAAGAGTACTTGAAATGTTTTTATGGAAATTATCAAAGAATATGAAGCTTCCTTTAGGATGCCTCTCTAGGCTAATATGGTTGCTGTGTTTGTAAAATTCCACAGTTTTAACTTTTGGAAATTTCTTTCTTTTTTCTTTTATTTTTAAAGGTGGCTTTGGAGAGCATGGAATGTCAAAAAAACGCGGTGCCCTCTATCAGCTTATAGAGAGGATAAGAAGATTTGGCTCTGGTATTTTCACTGTTTAAATTAGCAAGTTGCCTGATGTGATAGTGTATCATAAACATTAATGATGATAGTACTTTAACACTTTAAAGCCTTTCTATATTACTATAGGCATAAACAAATTATAAAATTATTAGTGCAAGAATAGTAATGAAGAGATTAACTCTTTAGAGTTCTTCTTCCAGCATGAAATCTGAAAGCTAAAACACATAGTTTTAAATGTTATATTAAAAATTGCTTAACTTTGTTTTATGACTGCATTCACAGTTATGGGCTTAACTAATGTCAATACAGTGTCTTTACACTGCAAGTAGAGTATGCTGCAAAGCTGCTAATTTAATTTGTTTCCTACTTTTTTCTGGCTCCAGGTGGGGCACTCTGATGATTCATACTGTAAAGCATTTGTGGTGTGTTGTGCTGAACAAGCGTATTTTTATATTAATCATACTCTTGTCAGCATGAATGTAGTTAAATTGAGCAGCACATGGAGGTGGAATCCCCCCTAACTCCGGCTGAGTTCACACTCTATATTTGATGCAAGAAGACATCACTTTAATGTTGTGTGAAACCTCACTTCAAAAAGGAAATTATGTGCAACTCCATTGTAATTGCACCACATTGTGTTAATCGGAGCACAGTAACTGCCTTTGCAGAGGTGCTTTGATATATAATCTTCATTCTTTAAAGGAGAATTAAAATTTTAGTATTGCATAAATTCTTGTCATCTTTTGGGTGTAGTTTGGAATAATTTTCTTGCTTAGACCTCTAAAGAGCACAAATAAAAATTATTTGGAATGGTAAAACATCTAAATAAGTGTGTGATGTGGTTCAGTAATGACTGCATACTAAGTGTAAAAATAGTTTTCCGTAAAGAGTCTGCTTATACTGTAGACACTTTGTGTGTAATTTGTTGTGTAATTCTCATTTACACACTCATTTAATTACAAAAATTAATAATTTTCTTTACCTGTATTTGGTTGGTGGTTTTTTTTTTAAACCCTGTAATTTTCTGTATTATTCCTGGTACAATTCAAGTTGCATGTTGGCTGTCACAAAAGCAGGCTTTTCTTCCCAAGTATCAGAGCTTCCTCCCTGCCTTGTGCTGTAGCTTCTTCCTTGTCTTCCTATTGCTGCTCTCTCAGCCTTGGGGCTGTGCCGACATTCCTTACCATGACTCTGCCCTGGAATCCTCCCCGATTCTGACATGGTCATTAACACTCAAGTGCAGCTGGTACCACAGGGGATTCTCTCAGAGGGAAAATGTAATCTTCCACCAGGAATAAGAAAAAAGGCTTCAACTGCACTGAGTAGGATTTGTTAACCACTTTTTGAGGGATCCATTTTGATCAACTGGCCAGATCTCCAAACCAACTTACAAATTGTTCAGAAACACCTGTTTTGGTGTCCAAGTCCTTGTCTAACTACCCTTTTCCTTTTCTGTTCTCACAGTAGGTTTCAGCTGATTTAGAAAGATTTGCCTGTAATGGGATGAATTGTGATAGTATCCCTGAAAATGGTAGACACTTTTTTCTCATGTAAAGAAATTCCAGCCATGAGTAAAACCTACCCGTGGGTTTCCAAATGTTATTTTATGGAAAATGTATGATTTCTTACTGTCCAGTGCTTTAAAGATGGTCATTGTACTTGCTTTTTCCAGATCATACAATAAAAATGAAAGGGATAGTGAATGTCTCGATTAGTTTGAGTCTGTCCAAACTCTGACATTCTTTGCTGGAAAAATCTTCATTTATTTAAAAAAAAGGACCAAAACAAGAGCTGGAGAAAATTGAATGCAGAAAACACCGCCACAACCACAGGGAGTGTGATTTCTTAAATATTTTTATAAAATGAGAAAATTTAGTTGCACTTACACAATGTACATTCCAGTTGATAAACATATGTGCGAGATTGTTACTCTAGATGTATTCCAAAAAAATAAAGATTCAGACTTAATGTCTTTCTCAGAAAACTGTGTAATAATAGACTGTCATGTAACAGCCATGTCCTGCTTTGAAAGGGTATAAAGAAATCTGAGTTTGACTTGCTAGAAAAGAATTGCTCTCCTTTTTCATGTGTGTGTGATCTCATTCAGTGTTTTAATTATCATTGCAGGTTTTGAGCAAAATAATACATCTAAAGGAAGAACTACTGTAAAATTCTCAGGGAAAAATGAGAAAAACCGATTTCCCAGAGCTGCTACATCACGAACAGAAAGAATATGGCCAGGTGGTGTCATTCCATATGTAATAGGAGGAAATTTCACTGGTAAGCTTTGTGCTTTGCGTGAAAAGAGGAAATATAATTTTTGAAAAATTGCCTTAATTTTTTTTTTTTTAATTTTTAGAAGTGAAGTCATGCTATGGAAGTCAGTAGAAGGATTTCTGTTGGAACAGGCCTGAAGTACATCTGTTTTGAAATATTAGTCATACTTAATTGTTTTCAAAGGCAAGCTACATAATAAAAAATGTATAGCAACATTTTAGAGAGGGAAAGCTCTGCTTCTTTACCTAATATTTCTTGTTGCACATTTGTTTCCATGAGCCTAAGTAATCGAATGTCAAGGAATTTTTTTTTTTAAAAGCAGTATATTTAGCACAATAATATCTTCAGTTTAACTGGTCTGCCATGTATTCTTCTAAACCGATTTCACTTAACAAACTGACTCAAATGTGTTTTGTCATTCCTCAATTTGGTTTTCAGATGGGTACACACAGACACTGTATATGACAGAAATAAAGACTGGATGCCCTAGATATAAAATTCTTATCAGAAAACTGTAGAAAAAGTAAAAACATTTGTTATCCTTTGAAAAGGTAAACAGGTTAATATCAATGTGGATGTAAGAGATAATTTAAAACAAAAACGGAGCAAGGAAAGCAAAGAGATAAGGGAAAATATATGAAATAGTATCTTCCCTGTATATGATAATACAGTGAACAAAAAGAAACATGCAAATGCTCACACATTGTATATGGAGAAACCAGTCATTCCTTTCAAACTGACAGCTACAGTCAGGCTTTCAGTTTGGGTATTTACATAGTACTGTGCCAAATGTGACCTTTGCATTAGGATTAGTCTTCTGAAATAACTGTAGGAAACTGTAGGAAAGCACCATATTAAAGATTTTGCCTTTTTCATAATGAAAGATAAATTCTAAAGCTTAGAAAAAACATCTTAAAGATAAAAGAAAAGGGCAAGATGGGATGGAATAACCTTTATTTGCTTTTTTAGAATCTGATGTGATTTGAACTTGTTCTTTTTACAAAGTTTCAGGTTTTGTTTGTAAGTTTTAAAAAGGTTAGATTTTTTGGTTTGTTTAATTATCTTATGTTTTAACCTGCAAGGTGAGTGTACTTCTGCTAGCATATTCTTGCCAGATAATACTCTTTGTGGATTTTCAGCTCAGAAGAAATACAGATATATTCTCACATGTTGCCTCTATGTCAGTAAGCTTTGTCTTTTGTCACACAATGAAATTACATTGCTCTGCTCTCTGAAGTTTTGTTTTGTGCTGAGAGTTGGCCTGGATGATTCTGCATCTAGGGAATAGTTCTGACCTTTTCTGAATGTATTTCTCATTTTAAAATCAAATACCAAGGTGTGCTTTTACCAAATTCTGAATTTCCCACTTTTGGTGGATCGTTTGTTTTCTGAGAGATTTTGATGCAAAGAAGGGGAGACTGGTCCCTGTTCACGACAGCCTTATTTTAATCAAATGTTTTAACCAGTATGCCTATTGGCATGGCTTAGATTTAACTGGTGTCCAGACTGGAAGGCTGTAGGATTTTTTAAATTTTTTTTTTTGTTTCTACTAGATAGATAAGTATGATGTAAAGTTAATCAGTTTTGGTTGTTATTTTACTTTCTGTTTTTTCGAGCTTTTTTTCTCCCCCAGTGTAATTCACTTGATAGTTTCATCTGTGAAATTACTTAGTGAATGTTGTGCTGATGGAGGCACATAAGCAACGCTGTATTTCTTCTGCTGTCTTCCTCTGGTGTAACACAGTCGTGATCTTCATGGCAGGATTTATATTTACTGGGGTGTGTCAGGCAGTGTGAGCCCCCTTGCAGGCACATCTGTTATGACGAACTGACGGCCTGAGCATCCCTTTAGCTGGAATCTTGCCATACACGGGACTGCTGGGACACACAGGGCTTTGTGATTCACTGACTACTGCCAGGCCCATGTTCCTAGTACGGGTTGTGAGAAGGAAGGTGCAGCTGGGAGGCTGCTGTGGTTTCACCTGCTGCACTTTTGGTTGCAGGCACGCAGCGCGCCATGTTCAAGCAGGCCATGCGGCACTGGGAGAAGTACACCTGTGTCACCTTCATCGAGCGCAGCGATGAGGAGAGCTACATTGTCTTCACCTACAGGCCCTGTGGGTAAGTGTGCACCTGGGGGAACACACAGTCCTGCTCTCAGCCTTTGGCTCTCGGCCACGTCTGTCAGCTTTGCACCCAAAAGGGAATATAAGCTTCACAGGAAAATCAATAATTAATGCATTTCAATGATGCACGTGTTCTGCCTGGCTTTTTTAGTTCATTGGAACAGGTATGTGTGGTAACTTCGTAAAGTTGCACCTCTTTGGTGTATTTTTAGATAAAATTATCTTAATATATACACATATAGATATTACTTATTTCTTGCTTTCTGTCATGCTTCCAATATTCATATGTGTTGTTCTAAAGGTATTTCAGGTTTATTATTTGTTTATTCTTAGCTTTCTCCATGTCACATATTTACTGCTGAATTAAATATGGACATCTACCCCACATCCCTTTTCCAGCTAAATTGTTGTTTGTTGTAATTTTGAGTCTCATATTGCTAGACTGTCCTTGCCCAGATTTGTTTAATCACCAAATTTATGGCCATTTTACCAATTCCTTCTTCTGGGTCACTGATGTGTAAAAGTGAACAGGACAGGTTTTATTATTCAGGAGTGCAGCTTTCCATTAATCATCATGTTTCATCTTCAGATATTACTGCTCACAAATGCCTCTGTCAGCTATATTTGCTATTTATTCTGCTCAGAATTCTTAATTTTATATGGTGCTTAGTGAACTTCCTGAGTGCACCATGTTCATTTCTCAAGAAGAGTGCACACTGCCTATGGAAATTCTGTACTTCTGACAGTCACCTCCTGTTTGAGTTGTAGGCTCTGCAGTGAACAGCTCTCTGTCTTACTGACTTCCTGATCATTGAGCCCTTTACATGTCTACTTTTGAATCATAATAGGATAGGGTAGTGAAAAAAAGTTTTGGGACCTCCTTGTGTTGTAGGAATGATCCTGGATGTATTTAACTTAGAGTCTAAAATTACATGTAGAATTATCTGTTTCAAGCACCCATTGTATTTTTCTTGAGGTATAGGACAGCATAATAAAATCTACTCCTGGGCTTACATTTGAAAGTATAAAAAAAGCATTGCCTTTGCCCCCAAAAGCCTGTGAGCCTCAGATCCTTGCAGCAGGGGAGCTTATTCTGCCATGTTCTTGTGCCACTGTAGGTTTGCTGTAGACTCCCCTTAGAAACAGTGCCAAATGAAATGCACTTTTGTTCTGAGCCAGCATGGGCATTATTTTAGTTGACAACAGCCCTGAGATAGGATTCACCCATTAAGTAAGATTCAGGGATACTGACACACAGCTGGAAGAAAAATGGAAAGCAGACAATAATCATGATGGTTCCCTTGCACTCACAGAGGCAGAAAGCAATTTAAACAGAAGAGTGTGAAAAGTACAAGTGTTTTTAGTCACTTTAGAAAGAGATCTGTGGGGGTATCTGCCAAATGTAAATCCTACAACTTCGAAATACCCAAAGCCAAATGACAAAAAAACCTCTCCAGCCAAAGAACTGTTCCTTAGGCTGCTTGATGTTTCATGAGATCAAATCACTTCATGGGGAAGGCAGGATTATAACCAGCTTTAACCAGAAGGTTGGAATATACTCAGTATCCACCCCCAAAGTCTAGTTTGCTCTTTTTCATTAATGTCGCTTAATTGAAGGGTACTTTGCAAAATAGAGATAATTTACCAGGGCTGTAACAAGTTCAAAATAAAACCAAAGAAGAGTGTAGCTATGAAAAGTCCATCATTGATGAAATAAAGCCAGGCCAAACAGAAGGAACAGCTGAATGATTTTTCTGGGGGCCCACCAGTTGTTTCAGGAAGACCCAGATAAATAGGGACGTGCATTCTCTGGGTGAGCAGGAACTGTGCACTACCCACCAGCATTCAGGGCTGACGCAGGATTTTCCACGGAAAGAGCCCAGACTGAAGTGACACCAAACCAACTGCAAACACTCTCTGCTGCGTGGCCAGTCGTATTGGAACTGATCTTCAGCTCTTTCCCATGGCACCCTGCTGTGTTGGTTTGTTAGCACATTGTGTCAGTATTGTTTGTACTACCATGGCAGCTAACATTCACAGATGGCCAAGACTTTATTGTACTTAGCACTGCTGAAATTAAAAGCTGAATGATAAACCCGCCCCAAAGAGCACATAGTCAAAACAAAACACATTAACTGAAACAAAGTGGATAGTCATATATGTGGAAATTCAGGTGGTAGTATCTACAAAAGTCTCATATGACAGCATTAGCACACTAGCAAGTGAAGTGTTACTGAGCCTTTGTAAACAATAAGGATATTTTGGAGTGTAATGCATCACATCTTGAAACAGTTCATGGGAAGATCATCCCAGAAGAGCAGTGATTAAAAAAGCATATTTGAAATATAGCAGCTGGTTATAAGAGAGAGATGACTTTCTTAAAGTTGAGAGGTTCCATATCAGCAAGGAACAAGAGATAAGTTTTGATTATCATAGACCCATAGGACTGCAAGGGATCTCAGAAAGATGTCTAATGTATTCTTAAGACAGAACAGTTATTCCTATATCATTACTGATATATGTTTATCTAACTTTGTTCTAAAAACCTTCAGAAATGAATATTTCATAGCCTTCTAGGAATTGTATTGCTCAGCATCCTTAATATAAGAATTGTAGGAAGTTTGGGCAGCATTTTTTTGGCATAGCTAAACAAGGTATTTTTTACTGCAATTAAAGGACATTAATTTTTTTCCTATGGTTATAGAAAAGAAATTCCTTTTACTTTTTGAAGAAATCAGTTGTATAGTTTGATATTGTTATTAAATCCCCCCTCTGTTCTATATTCTTGTGGGCTAGAAAACACTTAATTCATTTAATCTTTCCTGGTAAATAATGTTTTCTAGGCCTTTAATCACACTGCTCTTTGAGATTCTTTTCTGCTAGTCCACATCATTCTTGAAATTGATAGCCCCAAAACTAGGGCATATTTGTCCACATGAGTTGTCACTTCTACTGAGCCAGTGCAAGAGATCATTCATACAATTTGTAGCCTCTCCTTCCTCTTAGGTACCTAAGCACAGTTCCTCCCTGTTTCTCAACAGCTGCCATGTTCAGCACATGGTTGGTTGGGATGTTATTCCAAAAAAAAGCCAGAGGTCTTTCCACAACACAGACACCCCATCATTGGTTCCAGTCTTTACCAGGTTTTGCACATCTTAAGATGTCAAGTAATTCTATATTTCCCTTTCCAGTTCTCTTGTATAATTTCCTAAAGGTGCTTGTCTTCACGGTATTTAGCAGTGTCTTCTATGAGTGCAAGCTTAAAAAGTGTTTTCTCTGTCTAACTTCATGTAATATTCCAACCAGCTTTATATCCCCCTTGATATCAACTTCTCTAGTTTGCTTACAGAGTTCAGAAAAATGTCAAAAGCTTTATGGCCACATCCCTTCTTTCCATGAAAATAATTTAATCTGCTGAAGTTGTAAGCTACAATTATTTTCCAACATGTCTGGTTTATTTAACCTGAGTTTGATCAAAGTTAATTATTAAAATATGGTTTAATAATATAGCTGAATCACTTACTTCTTTGAAATTTTCTAATTAGTGATAGTCATTTATATCCATAAGCTGCAGATGTGAAAATAAGAATTATAGTATTAAGATACTAGTGTTTGTAATTCTACTATCAAGCAGTGTACACTAGCATTAATACCAATTACAGCAAGTATTTATAAATCTAGTTGATTAAGGCAAAAAAAAACTCTACTTGGTAACAGACTCAAAACACTATTTTCTCACTACTGTTTCTCTATCCTTGTGTTTCTTCCTATCAAATTGGTAGGGCCCCAAGACTCAGTCAGTGCACTTTTCTGCATGCAAAGCCAAAAAAGGGGATATTGGGATAGCACCTAGTCACTATGTGATAATAAGTATTATTGAGTACAAGATCAAGCTTCTTTTTATGTAGTAGAACAAAAAAGAAAGGAGCATTTATATTGTTCTAGTAACTCAGTATGCCTTTGATCTTAATTTGTTCTCCATTAGAAGACTTATACTTTTATAATTTTTATTATAAAAGTCAGATGACTTATTGCAATCGCTGCTGTATCCTCTTGTTTAAGTATTTGACAGATCCATTTGAGATACAGGAAAATAAAATCTCTTTCATATGCTTCTCCAAACACTGTAGAGTGAACAGATGAATATTTTAACCTCTTTGAACTTGCCAGTGTGTTAAAAAAGCATTGCAGGCAGTTCTTAAAGTTGGTGAAACAGGTAAATTCATTGCCTGAGGTGCGCTTTTGTAGCATGCTTCAGCTAAAGAACATGTTATAAAAGGTGCTCAATCACTCCTATAAAATGAGAAGAAACCAGAGTTGTGCTTAATAGTCTGTGCATAGGGGAGGGCTGACTCACGCTCTCAGGAGTTAAATAACCCTGGCAGCTGGCACAGCTTCCCTGCTGGCTGTGCTGTGGCTCCTGTGAGCAGGAGGGGTGTGATCAAGGCACAGGTTGGCACAATCTAGAGCATGGTGTGCTGACACAAACACTGAGGGGTGATTTATATAAATACACTGGGATAGGCAGCTGTTAGCTGAGAAATGCTGGTTGAAGTATTGGTGTGGACATCTCCACTGATCAGATAAAGATGCAGGAGACACTTCTGCCATCACAACAAGTCCTCTTGGGGCCGTGAATCAGGACATTTAGTAACCACGATTGTGTCTTGATTCCTGAGAAAAGGCAAATTCGTCAAGCCAGTATCTTCTTTGTATAGGTGGAGTTATATCTGTGATTGAAAGAGGTGTTTTCACCAAGAAGAACACTCTGCTTCCTGAGTGAGATTTTCTTTGGAAATTTTGTGAACCTCTTTTTCTTGCTCTGTGTAACATAAAGGTGATCATACACAATCCTAGTATGCTTATGAAATTCATTCTCACCTTCATACAGTCAGTGCCATGACAAACTGATGTTGTGGTCTATGATTTTTATATTGTCACATTTTCAAGGGTGCAGCTTTTTTAAAAAAGGACAACATTGTCCCTACCTGATTCTCTTCCTTTGTATCAAGAGTATTTTTGATGGTAGTTGTGAAGTAGTATTACTTTAAAGAATGAGCTTATTGTTCCATTCATTTCACTTTCTCTATGTCATTTGTTTCTCATTGCTCACTATCATTGATCAGCTAGACCGATTAAATGGAATTAGAGATTCATAAATAGTTACTGTCTCCAAATGCTGTCTGGTGCAATAAAGATTAAAGAGATAAGCTTTAAAACCTGCCAGTTGATTCAATTTAAGGGGTGTGACAAGTGCTCATACAGCACAGAGATCTTTTTTTTTTGTCAAACACTCCTGGGGTCAAACCCATAATATTACAAATTAATGTACTTCATAGACTTTTTAAATTTTAGTTTTCCTTATTCTTTGTCTCAGTGCAATTGTTGAAGTAAATTGTTGTAGCTTAATTGGATGTAACTGGTGTGCTTGACAAGACATTCAACCTAACAAATCCTAATGACCCTCTGTAAGTGTGAACTGCTGCTGTTATTTTAAGACTTGGTGTTAATTCTGTTTTCCTTGGCATGTAAAGAAACACTAAATAAATGTCTTTATATTTTCTAGGGAGTACTTGAAATCTGTCAAGTAACCAGTGTAAGGGAACTCTCACCCTCTGGCTGCTTACTTTTTAGGAGCAGGTTAGCATTAAAAAAATAATTCCCAATATGTTGGGGTTTAGATGTACAGTGGTAGACTACCTAGAGGAATATTATGTAAAAGTTTGCAATTAACTTTTTTCTTTTGAAAAAAGCCCTCTTTAAGATCTGTCAGATGAGGTGGCCTAAGTCATTAAACACATTTGAGAATGCTCAATATTTCTTTTTCATTATTATAAGAGTAAAATGTTAAATTATTTTGTCAGACACCTAAAAATCTATCTGATTTATGGAATACCACTAAGAGCTTTCAGAGGTGATCTAAAACACAGTCTTAAAAAGTTAGAGCCTCATTTGGTCCAAAAGAAGTAAGAAAGACAGGAAGAGAAGCTGTAGTCAAAATCCTATTTTATTATTTTGCCCTTGTTATCAATAGTGTCAATAAAAGTAAAGCAGGAGATGTCATAAAAGTTACTAATTATAATAATTTATTTTTCAGTTTTTCCTTTATATCTGTTGATCTCCTAAATATCACTGTGAAAAAAACTATATTCAATATATAGAGAAATTTTTTCGTCCCCAAATATATCTTTTCCAGCTGAAGCATGTAATGTATATGAAGTCAAAAAAATAGGCATGTTAAAACTATTGAAAATGTGTTAAATAGTCTATGATTTTAGGTCTCAATAACCTATTGATTAGTTTTAAGCCATAAATAATCATTAATGTTCTTTAGTTCTGCATTGCAATTTTTCTCTGTAGAGTTTCCACACAGTGGGCAACATGAAGGCTCTGCAGAAGTGTTTAAACTGTTTTAAACAAAATGATTCTTTCTGCCTTTTCACAATTATATATGCTTATCCTAACTTTATTCCCATCGATCCCTTGCTCTGCCATCATGTGTTGTATTAAAATCATAAAGATTTTTAACTACGAATTAAATTCCAGGACTTATGTATTTAAATGTATTGACTCTACAAGGTGATTTTGCGGGATTATAGGTGAATGGAAAACTAAATAGGTTAAAATTGGTTGCATGGTTGGGTTTGAAGGGTTGTGGTAAATGGATTGGACTCAAGCTGTGACTGAAAGTGCAGTATCATGGGCTTATCCTGTGACCTGGCATTATTAACATTTCTGTCCATGACCCACAAAGACATGGTGGTGCATGCTGCCATCAGAGCATTGCTTATTTTTATTCTTTTGCTTAAAACAAGTTCCTGTGTCATTCTATAGAATGACTGAATAGACTGTCATGACAATGAGAATTCTGTTGATCAAAGCTGACATCTTTTAAGACCTTGAATAATATCAAAAAAAGCTTCACTCATATGTATTTTGAATAATTGACTGCTCTTGTAGAAGACCTAGAGTTTGTGAAAGATCTGAAATTACATTGTGCATTTAACTGTTGAATCTTTATATACTATTTTTTCAAGTTTTAATTGAATTTGCTATGTGGTTTGTAGACATGTATGGAAACTTTAATCTGTGTTTGTGTTTCAATTACAGGTGCTGTTCTTATGTGGGTCGAAGGGGAAATGGTCCTCAGGCTATATCTATTGGCAAGAACTGTGATAAATTTGGCATAGTTGTCCATGAGTTGGGTCACGTAATAGGGTTTTGGCATGAACATACACGACCAGACCGTGATGACCATGTCACCATCATTAGAGAGAACATCCAACCTGGTGAGACATTCTGACAAGTATTTTGGGAAGCAAAACTCATGTGTTTGTTTTTGGTGTTTCCTTCATCTTCTCAACTCCATTGGAACTGAGTGCTGAATAGCTGAAATAGCAATTATACCTGCTATTCTTCTTACCTTGACTGATTTCAAATTGATTGACAAATAAAATACTGAAATTATAGTGTAATATTTTCCAAAGGTCTGGACAAGTAGCAGATCATTAACATAGAGGGCTAGAAGGAGCAAAATAACAATCATGCTCAAAAACTTCGAAAGAAGCCACTGCTCTTAAGGCTCTTTACAAGTTCTATTTCTGTGCTTGAGGAAGGGCATTTCTCCTGTAGGCTTTAGTGAATGGTAAGTAGAAATATGTCTGTAGCTGCTCAAGGGGCTTTGACCTGGGAGGGTAAGGTGAAGAACTTTCAGTCTATGGCAGACAGGCACAGATCCTGCAGTTTACACTTTATTCACCTCACTCTCTACAGAACGTCCAGCTTCAGTCAGTGACCTTGGTGTTGTTGAGATAAAGCATCTGAGGAACTTGAGAATTTTCAACTGTGACTGTCAGCTCTTTGCCACCCTAGCTGTTTGTGCCCTTGCTTGTGTTGGGTAGGCAAAATGGGAGGGAAGTAGGCTTGGAGTAGCTTAGTGTATTTGTCTGTTTCTTTAGAAAATATTTTAAAATATTTGAGATACAATGAGTTTTTGCCACTTCATCTAGGACTTGGAAGGAGACTGGCAGCTGATACACACTCCCTTAAGTCTCTAAAGTTCTGAAATGTCATGCATGTTTGAGCCTTCTTTCTTGTCTCACTGTATTATTGACTTGTGAAGATGCCATAAGAGCTCCTCCCCTTTTCTTTTACTATGATGAGAAAATCAGCTGGAGTGCCATCCTCAGCAGCATGCTCTCCCTTTCAGTTGTTTCTCTGGTTTCTGACTGAAATTACTTCTTGTGGTGTGGCATGAGCTTGAGGATCACTAAATGGGATCAGGAAGCCATGGCCACTGACACATTTGGTTTTTGTTATATTATGCAGCTTATGTTGGTTAAAATGTTAATGTCACTGCAGGGTCTTTTTGCAAGACTCCAGTGGGAATATGAACTGGAGTAAGGAGTGCTTTGTATTGCTGATGTACTAATTAGGTCAAAGAACTTAGGGTATGGAATTATGAACTAAGTATAATTCCTTTGCTCCTGTTCTGCTCTTGTTAATTTGCCACAGCTGGATCTTGAAAATGTGACTTTGTAGTGTCTGCATTACATGAAGCCTCACAGAGAAAGCTTCAGACTTTGCTGAAGCCGAGTCTCCAGTAGTTTAGTGCTGGATTTAGTATCCAGTTAGAGTGTTAGTATCCAGTCTAATGAGTGAGGAGGGTTCTTCTGGAGTCTTTGTCATCAAAATGATTTCTTTTAGGAATTAAGAACCAAACCAGAAATTTGTATGGACTGTACATGAGGCACATCATGATGTGTGGGGCCTTAATGTGTTTGTTGCATGAAACTAGTCTTTCTAAATCCAAATATACAAATTTGATGTGTGTGTCAGAAGAAGTCTGCCCTATCAGTTAAGGGGGCATAGTAGAGTTGCACACTTCCTCCCAAATTACAAAGATTTATGAATGTCAGTGAGTAATTAGGTTAGGATCTTTGTTGGTTTTCTTTTCGTGTTTGGTTTTTATCTTTACAGAAAAAGATATTAAAGAATCTATAATTATCAATCATTTGTAGGTCAGGAATATAACTTTTTGAAGATGGAGCCTGGAGAGGTGAACTCCCTGGGGGAACCATACGACTTTGACAGCATTATGCACTATGCCAGGAACACCTTCTCAAGGTTGGAGTCTCAGGTTATACCTTTTGGCTTTTAATTCTCTTCCTGTCTGTGAATGCTAAGAACTATGCTTTTTGAAGTATTTTTAAATGCCTTAAAATGTCCCTTGTGACATAATATTCCTACAGCAGTCAAAGCACAGCTTGTTTATTTTAAGTCAAAATAATTTAATTATATTTGAAAATGTGTTTCTTTTCTGTTCAGTTTCAAAGCAGCCTTTTGATCTTGCCTCAGTTCTTTAGATTTTCAGACAAGATAAACTGGAAACATCATTTTATATGATACTCTCTTTTTGTGTCCACAAAAATTTGAATTTAGAAAAATGAAATGAGTGAAATGGCTAAGAATGTTATGTGTAACATGATCTGTTTTCTAAAAGAAAAATACATCTCTTTAGATGTATGGAGTTTCATAGCCATGGATTATGCAGGTAGAGCACAGGTTATTTGGACATCTACTATGCAAGCCACATCCTTTGTTAAGGACTGCAGTCAAGCATTTATAACAGAGGCTGCAGCCTCCTCTCTTTATCTGACAGTATTGTTACTGTCATAAAAACCTTATAGTAAAGACTTCTGCTGGTTTTGCTCTGTCCTGTTGCAGGCTGATCCTTTCCCAGCTCCTTAGTGACTCAGTGGGGCTCTCTCTGAAAGGGTGCAGGGTTGTGGGGAGCTGTACAATGAGCTGGACCCATAGGTCAGCCCTACCCTAGAGAAGAAGTGAAAGAAGTGAAAGAGGCATTCATCCAGTCTCCTATTGCATTTCATCAGCTAATTATTCTCTAAAGGTACCAGAGTAATGTAAAATTAAAAGAAACCTCCCAAAAACACCCAAGAAAAAGTTTTAGTTTGAAAAGATATATTCTTGGGTGTGGTTTTTTTTTTTTGTTTGTTTGTTTGTTTGGTCTGGGTTGGGTTTGTTTTTTTGGTTTTTCTTTCTTGTGTGTATGGGTCTTTTTTTTTTTTGTTCAGTTTTTTAAAAAATATTTTTCAAATTCATGCATTTTAAGGTAAAAATACTGGACAATCTGACACTTCAAAGTAAACTGAGGGCCACTAAAACCTCACCAGCCTTTGCAAATTTGTTTGGCTTGTTCTCTCAATATAAATTCTATTATTATATAAAAATCCAACCAAAGGCTCTATTACTCAGCATTAGACATAATTCACCCCTGGAAGAGCATGGGAATGAGCCACATGAGGTAGCTATTAGTCACATTGCTTAATCCAGTTACCCATACCATTACCTTAAGGAAGAGATTATAAGAACCTGTATAAAATAGAGTAATTGAACAAGACAGAACCCCCCTGAGTCCTAGGGCAATGACAACATCAAGGTAATTTGATTTGTTAGCCCTGATTTCACCACTTTCCAAGCTGGCAAAAACTGATAGTGCCATGAACAGGCATGCCCTGCCCCAAGGTACAAGGGCTTGTTACTTCATACTGTCTAAAAATAGCCAGCCAAGCCCTGAGGTTGGGTATTGATTTGCACTAATTCATCCTGCAAGCATGAGTGATGCCCAGTGAGGCATATTGCCAGCTGTTTGTTAGACTTTGCTCACCTAGATAAGTAGTAGGAATCACAAAATATCATAAAGTTCTTGTCGTACACAATGATTTTGTTCATGCTGTATTTAAACTTACAGTATGTTCCTTTTTTAAAGTGCTAAGGCATTCAAGAGAGGATTGTTTTCAAAGTTTTTCAATGTATGAGAAGCATCAGTTTGATGTTGTGCTGAAATTGAGTGGAAAATAGAATTATAATTTACAGATGCAATCACTTTCTAAAGAATAATGTGCCTTTGTTCTAGAAGATGATTAATGCCGTATGTAGTTTATTTCAATGTTTAGGGTAACATCCTGAGATTATTCTGTCTTTACAAAATTTCTAGTGATGGCTCAAAAAATCTAACTGGATAAAGAGAGCAATATGTACTTGCAATACTCAAAATGGTTCATCAATTTTGATTTAAAAACCAGTATGTGTTTATAAATGGTATTTCTAACTACAGGCATCCTTGCCATTCATTAATTTTTGCATCTATGTTATGTCTGAAGGTACTGGTTTTACTTTTCAATAAAACCCCTGCAGGTATACAGGTGATTATAAATAATTAAATAAAAAGAGACTATAGAAACATATTCTTCTGTTAACTGCTTTTTTTATGGGCTTTGAAGGATTTTAAATTCTGCAACATGGTAATAGAATGTAGTTTTGTATCTTAGTCTATTAAAATTTATTTGAGAATAGCAAAATGTTTTAGATCATATTTAAAATCTGGGAAATTTTGAATAAATTGCACATTTGGAGTGTATTTCTCTGTGATGTCTTGTCATTTAAGGTTAATGTCACTAAAATCACATATGGTAAGTTGATATATTTTATTGCAAGGCAAGTAAAGGCTGGCAAGTAAGCATTTCTGTTTTGAAAGTGTCAGCAGTTAGAGTGGAGTTAAATGTCTTACAACACTTGACAGAATCATGATTGGCAAATGTCTTTGACTTTACCTGCTCTCACATGTAAGTCAGACTGTAGGAGTTCTTATAAAAACTTCGTTAAAAATTGGAGCTTTGTGATTAAGAATTTTGTGCTAGAGATGAACCTATGTATTTTAATGAAATTTTATATCTTTTTTTCCAATATAGCAATAGCTTAATGGCAGTGTCTTTTCCCTGTAAAGTCTTAATAGTAGTTAGAGATCTTCTTCCTCTTTTTTAGCAGAAATATAAAAGCTGATATGTTAATTGATGTGCTGAGAGAAGATTATTTTTTGGTAACTTTGCATAAAGTTTGCCAACCTGAGAAATTTTATGGCATGTTGTCTGCATTTAATGTTCTGTATATTATCCTCTTATTTATGCCAAATGTAAAAACCAGATTTACAAAACAGGTATACATTCATGGAACTCAGACAGTTTTATGAGAGAAACCTGATAGGGTTTTTTGGGGTCTATTTTTATTTTTATTTTTTTTAGGGGCATGTTTCTGGATACCATTCTCCCTTCCCGTGATGACAATGGTATACGACCTGCCATTGGCCAGCGTACCCGTCTAAGTAAAGGAGATATTGCACAGGCAAGAAAGCTGTATAGATGTCCAGGTATTGCACCACAAACAAACAAAAACCACATACTAGCAACTGTTTGACTTGTTGTTCAGGAGCAATGATAAACTTTTTGAGTCAGCTGCTCGGTATTCTCTTTCTATGTTGGCAACTGACATAGGCTGCAGAGGAATCGAATCATAAAAAAACCCCTTATGGATAAGGTCACTGGAATGCAAAGTACCTAAGGACAGATGAACTGTATGAAACAACATGACATTTCAATCTGCTTCTCTTAGCTGTTCAACAACTAGAAAAATATGTTTAATATCACTTCTGGTTTGCATACTGGCTGGAGTCCTTTATTTGAATTCAAGTTGAGTGCAGAAGGAACAAAATGAATTACTGTGCTTGGCTGTGAATCCATTATATTTTTTTAAAATGTGTCAATGAAAGAAGTGAGGACAACCAAATTGTAAACTCTTGTGTGGATGAGATGGTTAGATCTTTCTACAAAATTTCTATAGTTTTTAACAGATACATTTAAAATTTAAATATCTTCTGCCTAATTCTGTCATCCTATAATTTGAATGCATATTAATTTTTTATCTCAAAATAATGTGGTTGAGTTGCTGTCTGTCTCAGAGACATCAGTGGCAAGCCTGGAGTAACCCAGAGTCAACCCTATGGTTCGTGTTGTTCTCTAGTGCTCTTTCTTCACTAAGTGCTGCCAGAATGGTGGAGATCTCAAAGGAAAAGGTTTTAATCTCCTTGCTCTAGTTACTGCTGATACCACTGTTAACCTTTGATGTCAACCAAAGAATTTCAGAAGTGCCATCTCTCAGTCAGAATTTACCAGCAAGATCCTTGTGGGAGGCTGGACATCCCAGCTCTGAGCCATGTAGGCTTACAGCCATACTGCTCCTCATGGGAATGAATGACATCTCAGGAGCTGTTTTAACTTAGATACATTGCCACTTCCAACCACCTGATCAACACAAAAGGACTAAAGAAAGCAATCTTTAGTGTTAAAGTAATGGAGTTGCTTCAAGTTTGTACCGGCAGCGATAGATCTAATGAAGATTCACTGTACAGCTGAAATGTGCTTTTCCTTTGTGCTGTAAGCACGCTGAATCATGCTCTTGTATATACTGAGAACAGGCACAGAGATTCTGGGCCTGCTAAAGCAGAAACCACTTAAACACCTTTTCTTTAACAACTGTTCCTTTGGGAACAATTTCTGCTCTTTCCTTTTGGTACAGAAAGTACTTTAATAATGACATGCTTGGCAGCAGTATTTCTAATGAAAGCATACAGAGAGCAATAGCTTCATGAACACAAAGAATATATACATATTTTGATACAAGGACAAGTTTTGGAGGAAAAAAGTATATAAAAGTAAAACTGCTGGGCAAGTAGGTAGTATCTCATGATCATTTTGACTTAAGAAAGAAAAAAATGGAAAGAAACTATAAACTAGTCTGTTTAGTATGTACATGATACTCTAATATACACTTTCAAAACTGTAAAATATGCAACGTACATTTAGAGCTAGTGTTCAAACAGTTGATCAGAGAAAATATCCTTTTCATATATGTCATGAAAATGTACTGCGAATTATAATTTCTTTCAATGTCATGAAAGCCTTGTTGAAAGTTCATTTCACAGTATTGTAAAACCACTGTGGTTGTTCAGTAGCAGTTTGCATTTGAAAAGTAAGATATCTTTTGCAGCACCAGTGAACATGGGTCACATGAACAATGAAAATGAATGTGGTTAAAGGATTATGCTCCTGTTTTGGCACCCATCTTTGCAAAATTTGGGATAAAATATATTGGCTTTCCAGCCTTACTTAAATGAGCCATGCCATAAAAGAAAGTGAGTTTTAAGAGAGAGAAAAAGACAGAAGTTTTTTCTACAAATGTTAACTAGCATACTATTTAAAATGCTATTTTTTCAGTTAATCTTTTTAATAGAAGCTGCATAGCTGAATAATGCAACCCAGACTGAATCCAATAAAGAAAGCAAATCTCTGAAAGTTATCTAGTACTTTTCTTCTAATAAATTTTGCAGCAAATACTCAAACTGAAAATTCAGACAGGCATAAAGCTTTTGTTTTTATGTAAAGAATCAAATGATGATTCTAATACATAGCAATAAAATCCCTGATACTGTGTTGCTTTTGGAGGTATGTTTTATTTCCTATTTCAGACAAAAGTTATTAATCATGATGCCCGCTTATTATAAAACAGCAGTGAATATTTCAATCCTTAATAATATCTGCATTTTTTCATATGTTCATTTGTGCTCCCTTAAATGCAATGCAATGAAAATGCAGAAACCAATGACTTAATCAGCATTTTACAGAGACCCACACTTCTATGATAAAGGATTTTATAGTATTGTGTGTTTTGTTTGGAGTTCTAATTATTTCTGCAAACAGTTGCAGGCCCAAGTCCTTTTTTGGGGCCCTTGAACATGAAGTTGAGCTCAGGTCTGCTGGAAAACACAGGTGATCCTCGCAGCAGGGAAGAAGCTGAGCCTTCCAGGGTGTTTTAGATAGTCAGGATATTCAGGGTCATTATTCAGGAGGGGCTTACTGACCAAGAAACAGTTTTGAGACTGATGAAGCCAGAGATTTGATAACCTGCCTTTCAGCAGCAGGGTAAGTGCCAGGTCTCTAAAATGTAGCAACAGCAATTTTGGTTTGTTTTTAACTTTTCCTTAGGATTTTTGTAAAAGGAAAACGTAATTGCTGATAAGGATCTGTTACATTTTAAAACCAAATTATATTGTTATGTGATGGAATAATAAGGGGAAAGAAAACAACTAAGTTGAAGTCCTTCCTCTGCCAGTCTAATTTTGAATTTTGATTGTCTTGGTATTTGAGAATAAAACTTGAAGTTCAAGGTTGGATGTACTACAGTTTTCAGACAGTCTAATTGAATAATAAAATGTGTTTTCTTCTAGCTGCTAAAATTTCAATGCCGGTCTGCCTCTATAGTTTTATATAGAAATTGTAGTTAACATTTATATGTAGCCTAATAGGAGCAGAAGAATAAGAAAGGAAAATAATGGAGAAAGATACTCATGTGCCAAAAGAACAAAAAAAAGTGTATAAAGTGGGAATGCATAATGGATAGGAAAGTCTCAGACTGGTGGGAGAAATTTGTTTAGAGGAAGAGAAGGTGGATGGACGAAGTTCAGCAAATTTACAAATTGCATGGGTTAGATTTGAAAAGAATGTTCACCTTCAAAAGTCAGCCTTTGTTTACTGCATAAGGAGAATTAGGGTTTTTAGATTAAGACAATTTCCTTATAACTATTATGAGGAATCAAGTCAATAGTAAGACCCTGAGTTGCAGTAAACTGATTTAAGTTTTTGATTTAACAAGAATATGATCAGCAGTAGATATTTTTAGGACTCTGTGGCAGCTTTCTATGCTATATATGTATAGTGGTACCGACTTGTGTCTAAGTGTTAAAGAACTTAAAGAAAAAGGGTGAACTCAAATTAGCCATAAATGATGCTATGCATTTGCTAGTGCTATGTGCAAAGGAATGAGACTTGGTTCCCTAAGTGTCCTGGGGGATCTGGGCTTCATCATTTGCAGATTTCACAGTAATCCTTGATGGGACTTGGCCATGTGTGCAGGCCAGCCCAGAGAGGTGTCATACTCAGGCTGTGTAATTAAACACTGCTGCAGAGTACACTGGTGGGAATGGCTTTGTATAAGCACATAATCTACCTGCTGCCTACACCCAGTGCTAATCTTTACAAGGAAAGCAAAAATAGTTTCGCTCTCCTAACCATGGGAAGTCTTATTAGATGTCTGACCTTCTCAAGCTGTAAAGCAGAGGAGAGTGGCTTTTATGGCTAGAGTATGTGTGTGGGGAAAGCTAAAGTGGCATTTCTGCAAGTGGTCTAGCCTAGTAAAATTGATATAAGGCATGACATTTGAAAGGAGGGAAAAAGCATCAGAGAAAACCTTGGCAAATGTTAATGATTAACAAAGGGATAAAAATGTACAAATGCTTTTTAAAGCATTGTAAAGCATTGCTATTTAAAGTACATAAGATTTAAGTTGTGATTGATATCTTCTGACTTGAAATATACTAAAATAAGTATAAAATGAAATTTAAATAAGTGGCCTTTACCACTCATTTTCCTTCCACGTTTCTCTCCCAAAGTGGATTTCATTACTAGTGGATCATTATACAGTAAAAAAAAAATTGTAATATTCTGTCTTATAAACCTAGTCATGAATACTGCAGTTGCTACAGTCCAAATACAATCTTTACATTCTCTAGTGATAGAACTTTAACTGTTTCCCGTTGCCTAGAAATGTGCTTTTCAACAAGAAATTCCCAAATATCACCCTGTCTACTGCAGCTTTGGAAGGCAGCCTAGAGCTCAAATCTCATAGAAAATTAATTCAACTATTGATTGGTATAAGCTGTTCCTGTTATAGCTCCCTTGAGTAATCAAGAATTTACAATTAAAAGATAAATATGGCAAAATACATGAAGCCCAAGTGCGTTTTATAAATTCTGATTGTGTTAATTCTTAGTAGAAGCAATCTACTTACAAAATTTCATATGCCTCTGTTAAATTTAGAGATATTTCTGAAAATAATTTTAATTTGATCGAGAGCTTCCAGGAATTTAATAAGGATAGAAGGTAAATTTTCATATTAAATAGCTTTATTCTGTAATTCCTGGGGAAAAAAAAAGTTCCATGACTCCTTTTGCAACTTAAAAGCCATTGTTTTAGGTCTGTATACATCTTCTGTATATTGAGCATGGATTTAATGAAACCATGGATGAGATGAAGAATAACAGGGCTCTAAAAGGGGTGAGAGGAGTACCTGGATTCTTGTGAATGTCTCATCTTTAGGCCCTACTGTCCTCCAACAGTTTCACTGCTGGCTTTTTCTGAAGTGTTTTACTCAGGCACTGTAAGCTCTGGCACAGTTCACCAGCTCTGGGGTAACCCAGTACAGGACTCTGCAACTTAAATGACTTTGCATTCATTGTTGTGTTAAAAATAAATTGACAGATTAGCCCAGGTTAATACAGATATAGCCATTTCATTGAAAGGGCTTCGTGCAGAAATGTCACTTGCTGCAGCTGCCTGCATCTTTTTAAAGATAAAACTACATTTTTTTAAATGAAGAGAGGAAAATATTTTATTTTCGTGTTTAATTCCTAAAGGACACAGTGATGGTAGCTTCAGCTGTTACACTTCTTGAGAGCCATGCCACTCTTTCCTTTCTCTTCTTATCATGATAATCATTTGAGTGTCAGAGAGCATATTTAATGCCTTGAATATAATTTCCACCTGATATAACAGTGTAGTTGTCCAATCACATCTTAGGTGCATTTTAACAAACAGCTTTACAGCTGTGTTGTCTTTTTGTCATAAGCAATCCTTTCCTTTGTCCTCTTTTATTTAAAGATTTTCCAGAACATTTATAATTCATCAATATTTTGATGACACAGTTGTTCACCTGCTGGCAATGGTAATTTGAAAGCACTGCAGATCTGATTACACTGTTAGTCATGAGATAATATCAAATTCATATCTTGTGTCACACCTGCAACATCAGTGGGAGAAAAAATTTGATTAAGGTCAAAAAAGATGACTGACTAAGGTGCAACACCTACCAAAGTCAGTTTTAATGGTGGAGACTGTTAGTAACCTCCAATGTTAAATTTTAGTGTGAAGATGATTTATTAGCCAGCATCTAGCAGCATGATTGACAGGTGAGAGAAGGGTGCTAAAAGTTTCAATAATAAAGAATATAAAAGCCCTTGGTATTTTAAGACCTTACATTTGCTTTGCTTTTATTACTACAAATCATTTTTGCTAAGAGACTTTGTGGAATATAGGACTTAGTTTTCTATACCAACATAAATAAGCGAGTTTAGGTCAGATCAGTTTTTCATGTGGGTAAAGGACTAAAATAAATGAAACCACTGAAAAGATTTCAGTGTGATACAAGTCACGTTGTGCTAGCATTTCTTCTAGTTCTTGAAGGCTGTCTAACTTTTTTTTAATTACCAAAAGAGTTCTATGTATAATATTGCAGTTGATTGACAGCAATGATATTTTTAAGGCTGCCATAATTTTGGTTATGTCAGCAGACAGCACACAAGTGAAATAGTTCATGGAATAAAAACATGCTGCATAAAATGGAATAAATGTCAAACTGGCTTAAAAAAAAGCTTTTAATAAATTGTAAACTAACCAGTTTATTTTCCATTCTGCATCTGCAGTGAGTTAAATGAATTCTGAGTAGATATTGGAAAGATGCATTTTTCTCCGTTAGGCACATTACATTTTATATTTTTACTGTAATTTGTTTCTTTCAGCCTGTGGAGAAACCCTGCAGGAATCTACAGGCAACTTTTCTTCTCCTGGGTTTCCAAATGGTTATCCTTCCTACACACACTGCATATGGAGAATCTCTGTGACCCCAGGAGAGAAGGTATTTTAATGTTCCTTTAGCTAGACACAGATACTATTTTCAAAGTAAAATGTTGTGATTTTTAGCTTCTTTTTTTAAGTTTAAAAGATGCATATTAATTGAAAATAATGGAGTGTCATAAAAAATGGGACCATGGGTTCTGTACCATTGGCTTTACTTTGATCTGTGGCATTAGAATTTATCATCAATTCAATGGATGTGCCTGTGAAATAAAGGCATGAGTTCAATTTGCAGTATGTTTGCATCATGAACTCCCTTTACAACTGGCTCCTAGTTCAGTTTATGGTTTAATATAAAAGTAGAAGAGGTGATTCAGGCTCCTGAATGGTCCATTTCCCAGCATGGGCAAGCTGACCTGAGCTGTATGGGGCCGATAGCTTGGGCTTGACTAAGGAAGTTCTTAGTGTGTTCAATAAGATGCTTCTGAAATGGAACCATAATAACATGAGTAAAGAATGTGTCACTGTGGGTGTTCCCTGGAATTGGTTCTAATGCATATAGTTTTACTTTCTGGGGATCGGTATTGTGGTGGGGGGAGGAATGGGCTTGGTGAGAGCAGTTTGGAGAGAGAAGTGTGCCATGCTAGTGAAAGCAAAACCTGTCCTTCTTTGTGTACACTTTCAAAATGTGCTACTAAATCTCATTTAAATTATTGGCTCAAATATCAGGCTGCTTCAAAACAATTAAGGATAGAGGGAGTGATAAAAAGCTTCGTCTGAGACAAAATATGCAGGAAAAAGGATGTAAGTTTCCTCACGTGGAGCAGTGGCTAGTATCAAGCAGTCAAGTGTGACCAATGTTCACAGGGGTTCTTGGATGAGGGAAGAGACAAGAATGTTGCCTCCATGATCAGTAGGCTTGATTTATTATTTTATGATATATATATTACATTATCACTATACTAAAAAGAAAAAGAAGGACAGGTTTTCTCAGATGCTAACTAAGCTAAGAATAGAAAAGAAAAGAATGATAACAAAGGCAGCTCTCTCGGACTCTGTCTGAGATAGCTTGGTCCTTGATTGGCCATTAATTATAAACATCCAAGATGGGCCAGTCACAGGTGGATCTGTTGTATTCCACAGCAGCAGGTAACCATTGTTTACATTCTGTCTCTGAGGCCTCTTAGCTTCTCAGAAGGAAAAATCCTAAAGAAAGGATTTTTAGTGAAAAGATGTCTGCGTCAAGTACTAAAGACTAAAATACAGAATCCAAAGACTGAAATATTGAATCTAACAGATTCAGTACTGGCAAGTTCAAATAGGAAGAACCAGCACTTGCCCCCAGATGGTTCAGTAATTTGTCTCAGAAATCTCCCACTATGTATGAGTTGGACATTCTTTTCTCCTGATTTTATTACTTTGTTCAGTGTTTCTTTCAGGTCAGGGTCCTGGTAGATGCCAAGAATATACACTCTTGTTGTTCTAATAGATCCTGAGGAGCTGTAAGGGCATTTGCTACTGTGGGGAATGAAAGAAAAGTCATTTGGAGAGTGTTTGCCCTCCTTTGGGCAAGAGCCAGAGCCAGGAGGAAACCTAAACACTATCTGCTGGGAGGACAAGGGTGGCTCAGCATGTTGTCAGGGAAAAAAATGAAGAGATGAATAAGAGAATGTTTGTACAAAAGATGGAAATTACTCTAGATAGTAAATTTATGTCCCCATTATTTGTGTTGCATTTTAGACATGATTGTGATAACAACAAAAATGGCTTAAGTTTTCTTCCAGAGCTCCATTAAAAAAAAAAAAATTAAAAAGTGTGTTCATCTACAATTATTTGCTCTTGAAAAAAATTCTAACGTATGAGTTAATGTTGATGTTTAAGTATTTATAGCATACTCCAACTTTGTGTAAGCCTATCTATAGGCACCAGTGTAATATGCCTTGAGTTTGTAACCACCACTGAAGCTGCATTATACTGGACAGAATATTAATGGGGGAAAGCCCCTGTGTTGAAGTCACCAATGTGAGAGGACTGACTCCTTTCCCAATTTATTTCTTTACCTTTTACTTTTGAGACTTAAGACTACATGGTAAAATGTAGCTGTAAAAGCTGTACTCAGTATATCTATACACAGAAAAATCTTGGAGGGAGGATGGTGTTATTAATGCTGTATGCCCCCAGCCAGGGAGAATCCTGCCTTCTGGTGTATAGAAATTTTATTGGCATAGGGAGAGTTGCAACTGTGCCAATGTTTTATTTGAATCTGCCTTTTTGAATAGATTACACTACTTTTCCGTTTTCCTTAATGTTTTACATGAAAGATGAAATAGGCCAGAAAAATCCTTGATTGATATGGGTAAAAAAATGCCACCTGCAAATACCTTGGTTTGTATTACTGGTATTTGTTTTATATTTTGTGCTTTCTAAGGCAGTAGGAGGTATGATATTTTCTCTTGGAAGCTGCAGTAGCACAATCCAATCTGCTGCGTAATCAATAATTCTTTAATTGTGCTGACAAATACCCATTGATTGCTTTTCCTGGGAAGCCTCTCAGCCATCCTGTCCCCTTGAACAAGCTCTGCCTTGTCTGTAGCTCTATTTAGTACTTTGCAGAACAGCAAATTGGAATCTTAAATATATTTAAGCTTGTTTGGTTCATGACCAGAAATCATGCTGTGACAGATTGGGGGTTCAGCCTATGTACAGCTAATGAATTCTGGTCAGTGTTAAGAAATTGCTGTATCATCAAATACCTTGGCATGCCAGAGTGAGAAAAGGCTGTGAAGGTTATTTCATGTAGTTTCAAAAGCAGGGGCCATTGAGGAGGCTCATTAAATTTTAACCATTTCCACTTAGATAGCAGCACTTTGAGACATTGACATGATCACAGCTAAATGAAACCATCCATTTCCCACCCCTATCCTGGCAACTAAGGTTTGGAAAAAGGTGAATTTCCAAACAAAAACCAGAGAAGAAATCTGATGTTTCAGCTGTGTCATGGAAAAAAGGGAAACTTGTGGTTAGAGTGGTGAGAGACCTCCAGGCTCTAAGGAGTTGAAGCAGTGGAGGAGGTACAGGTTGTGGCTTCTGTGGCTTGCTTCCAGCAGAGCCAGCTGGGTTTGTGTAAGCAGCTGTCTGCATCTCATCAGGGCAAAGAAAAGGGGCTCCCTCTTGTGAACCCCTCTGACTGCACAGATCGGGGGGTAAAGTTGGCATGGCAGGGAAAGGACAGGACTGGTGAGGGCAGCAGGCTCTCTAAGCAGTATGGCTAAATGCAAACAGAGATACCTACTTACCTTTTGAGAAAAAAAGAAGGTAGGAGTTTAGAGGGAATCTGAACTGCAAAGTGAATGATTTGAGGAGAACAAAAGTTTTGTATGTTGGTGTGGTCTCTTTACTTGAAGGAAGAGTTGAAGGAGAAAAATTCTGCCAAAGACAGAGAATTTATTTGTGAATGAGAGAATGGTCTCTGCCATCTTCTGAAGTAGATTCAAATAGAAATTGGAAATGTATAAAAAATCTGAAGCAGAGTAAAGCATATGAATGTTTTTACTTTTAGCCAGCTTTTCATATTTCTCATGGTAAATAGGTGGTTTTGGAATTCTGGCAATATTTGTGCATTTATTTATTCAGTACATCTTCCTGAAGGACTGCCCCTGCCCGAGTAGTAAAGGCAAAATGTCCTGTGTGTTAAATATCCATGAAAGGGTGCATGCAACCGAGAACTTTGAGATGGAACTAAACCATTTTATCTGACTGGGTTCATTTTTCCAGTTATGGTGTTAAAATTTTTACCTTGCATCTGGAATAATGGTAAGTTCCTCTCCTTTCAACTGACACTCACAGCTGCTCCATGGGCTGCCATGGAGATGTATTTTTGCAGTGTGAGGTACTTGCTCCTGTGCTGCAATTTGTGTTTGTTTTATAATGGCAGGTTTCAACTGCAAATTTCTAGGATCAAAGCTAAGATAATACCAATTCTATGCTCAAATGTGAAGGGAGAAGAATTTCAGTTAGAAATATTTATTTATGTACACTGAGGAACTGATTCTGAAGCAGATGAATTTTTTTTCCAAGTACACCTAAATCCAATTAAAAGGTATTAATTGGAAGTAATTTCATAATACAAAATATGAATAACTTTTGATCTGCTTGTTTGGATTTATCCCTGTAATTGCAGGACATGAGGCTAAGACTATCCCAGTCACTCAGGGTTTGAACTGTAGCTATTGTGTCAATGTGATCAGGAAAAATCCTATTCCTGTGTTAAAAGTGTAAGTTTATGGCAGTTTAGGATTAATATTTCTAAAAGAGGGATAATGTAATTTAATGTAAGGGTAGTCCTTGTAGTAAGTACTGAAAATATGCTTGTTTACAGATACTCTCAATAATACTTGGAGTCCAAGTTCAAAAGTTCCAGAAATGTGCAGATTTCATATTTCTCTATAAAAAGCTTTATTATACGTTCATTAAGAATCATTAAGGGACTGTACACTGTTTCTTATTAGTGAAATTTCTTTCAGAATTACTGTCCAACATTGTCAACATTTATGTGTCTGAAAGTAAAATATCTTGTCAAAACAGTAGTAGGAGAAGCACAAACTAAAATAAAACAATTATTTTTTTTTTTTTTTTATTTGCAGCTGATTATAGTCTGTGCTGGTTATAGTCAAAATGTAATGGAAGAGAAATTGGCAGTAGAATTATCAAGTAACATACTTAAAATTATAGTACTCTAATATTTTACCTAATTAGCATTCTCAAATTTTTATTTTTCAGTGAAAAACTCCCTGTGTAGTAGTTTGTCTTGAATTTTTGCAAATATATAAGATTAAATAAAATAAAGTTTTCATGTTCCCAGTAAACTTGTACTTAGTCAAAGAAATAATTGAGGAGAGGATAATTAAATGTCTGAATGGTTGGAATTCCATTACAGGTGACCACTCTGGCTTCAGTTCTTCAGAATGTTGTCGAGATTGTTTTTCTCTTATTTACCACACATGATTTATTTAGGCCTTCTCATCTGATTGCAGATCGTTTTAAACTTTACCACCATGGACCTTTACAAGAGCAGTCTCTGTTGGTACGACTATATTGAAGTAAGAGATGGCTACTGGAGAAAATCCTCTCTGCTTGGTATGCAACTGTTAAACGCTGCACCGTCCACTGCACCGCACTCACTGGGCTCAGTGGACCTGCTCTTGAACCCACAACAAACTTCTTGGGTTGCAGGTGTCTAGAATGGATCTAAACCTGGGGATGGGAAAAAAACCCTCTAAATGGCCTTGACTTCAAGCCTCAAGCCCTCCTTTCTCTGCAGCTTGCTATTATTCAGCTGCAAGTGTGGAAAGATGACAACTATAAAATCTGCAAGATTTTGCTTTGCTTATGGATATTGAATTATGAAGCTGCCATAGTTTTTGTTTTTTTTTTTTCCAGAGAAATAGGGAAGATGTTTACAGACAAACCTATAGAGCAAGTCATGGGACATTCATAGGTCATGTGATGAGAACATGCATCTGCTGTAGAGCTGTTGTTACAAGCTCTGTCCCTGTACCTTTAAGATTTGGGGCAGATTGCATCTCTTTGTTTCTTGTGTGTCCTTCCCTGCTCTTGCAGAGAAGACAAATGCAAAGCAATAATGAATTAAATTTGAGTTGCAACTGAAATGTAAAAGCTGCAGTCATCCTATTTTAATTCAGCAGGTTGGTGGGAAGATTTCACCTCCCATAATGCTAGTGCCCATAATGTAGTGATACAGAGGACAGCTCTCTAACAGTGAATGTCTATTTTCTTGGCCTTGAACAGTAAATAAAGAAGAAACAGTTAAGATCAGACAGTAATTATCCTCTTCTCCTGTTCTCTATCAGCTAGAAAAACAGAAATTTTACCTACCTAGGCAGACTTTAAGAGGGTAATGTAGAATAGGTCATTTAGATGTTACTTTTTAAAATCTCTTTGGCCTTTAGGCACAATCAGTTGTATTACTGTGACCTAGATTTGTTCAATTTTTAAGATTAGTACTCACTTTCCCCTTCCAAAATGCATGTGTTTGTATGTATATAAACAACCTCTAACAATAATTTTTTTCATTAATTCCTCTAAGGTTTTATGCTTAAACTTGTGAGCCTGACTGCAATAAAAAGTTCTGAAAGCTTTATAATAAAATCTTGTGTGTTAGGTCCTGCTCTGCAGAAACACATGTGCTTAACCATAGGCATATGAATAGTTCCACTGAGCTGGTTCTGCTACTTCTGCCTATAATGTTAAACACTTGTATAAATGTTTGCAGCATTTGGCTTCAGAGGCGGCAGAAAATGCAGTTACTGGTTGCATGTTTTTAGGCAGGTTTTGTGGTGACAAACTGCCAGAAGTGCTCACATCCACCGACAGCAGGATGTGGATTGAGTTCCGCAGCAGCAGCAACTGGGTTGGGAAGGGTTTTGCAGCAGTTTATGAAGGTAAGCCTCTTATAGATTAAAAATAATTTGGTTATGGAAGAATAATATTAACCAGATACCTTTTAAAATTAACCATCCCCCACCAAAACTAACATATGAAATTAGTATTTTCTCACTAAGAGACAGTAGGTGCTAAACTACTAGACAGGGAATTTGAAACTCCTCCCCTGACGAGATTTCAGCCGAGTTCTTTTTCAGGGAAATCACTGATAATAATCATAAACATTTTTTACCGGTCTTTAATTTACTAAATATGCATGTTCTTGGACTTAGTGTTTGCAAAGATTTCTGTGTGTACTTTCTCTTTATCCTTCAGAAAAATCTGTCTTATATTTTCCATATACTCTGGAAATTGTTAACAAAGGCACCCATGCACATTGGGTATATTAGCAAGTCAACATTTACCTGTTTAAAATAGAACCTGTACTTTTCATGAAAATATTTTTTAATTTATAGTAGCTGTTTCTTCGAACTGAATGCAAGCTTGAAGTGATAAACTGTTGGTTAAAATGCATAGATCTTTATAAAAGATGAGATTTTGCTTTCATTTGTCTTTTTTTAAAGGTTACTAAATATCAATGAAGAATGTTTATTAAGTATATTTCAAGGATGAACAAAAATTTCATTATTTTGACTCTTCAAATATATTCTGTAAAATGTATAGATTTAGATTATCCATAATTACAAATTCATCCTCAACACTGTAGACATGTTTAGAGCTATAAGAAATGCTAAATTATATTTGCTAACTAAAGTACATATAATGGTTTAAATCAATTGTGTTTTCAATAATTTATCCTTGGTAGATTTAAGTATTGTCCAGAACAATTTTATTGCTTGTTTTGAAAATGGAAGCATATAATGTCACTTTGGGCATGGGGAAATTACAGAAAATGTCATTATTGACAGTAAAATGTTATGCCTTTATCAGCTATTTGTGGAGGTGAAATCCACAAAAATGAAGGCCAGATCCAGTCTCCCAATTATCCTGATGACTACAGACCAATGAAGGAATGTGTGTGGAAAATAACAGTGTCTGAAAACTACAATGTAGGATTAACCTTTCAAGCATTTGAGGTAAAGCCTTTTAACTAATCTCAGACAAGCACCTAATGGCTAAGTGACAGTGAAATATAAAGGAATATTTATTAAGCCTGTGAATGAATTTGAGTTCTCTATGAAAAATTACCTCCATAATCTGTGAAAGTTTCTCTTCCCCAGAAATTTTCAAAATTATAGGTTTTTTATGTTATCTCTAATATTTTAATTAGAATTTTAAAATTACTGAAGATAGTCACATTTTACCAAGTACATCATCTAGCTCAGCAAGGTTATTTCAATAGTCTGTTAAATAACCAGGACTTTTTATTTTTGCTAAATCTTATTGTCAAAAATGAATGCGTGGCTGGAGAAAAAAACTACTATGTTCTTTGGCCTCTGCTTTGAAAAGGAAAAAGCTCTAAAACTAATATTCAGATCAAAAACTTATATTTAGTGAGGAAAGAAAAAAAGATGTGGTGAGTTGTCATACCTGTAAGTCTTTAGTGTCCATCATGCTGTGTATAACATTGCTAAGCTATGGTAAACTATTACATAAAAAAGAAAAAGTAATATTTCATGTCTGTTTTATTCCTACACAATACACTGGCTTGAACTTTGTAGATAAATTTAGTAGCATACTTTGAGTTAATTTGTTTTCTTTGAATATGCTTCAATAGTAAGGGCATCAAGAACATTTTTTAAAAATCTAGACTTTTTGCCTTTATGTTGTACATAGATCTAAATAGAGGTATAGTAAACAGATCTGTAAATTCCAACCTGACACTTTAGTCTTGCAGGCAGACTTCAGGGTTATGGCACATTTTTGCAATGATTGGTAGAAAGATTTGAGTATGAGACAATAAGGGATTAGGACTTTATCAGCAATTATGAATATAAAATATCAAAGTTTCATTATTTTTATAGATTCTACTTAATTTTCCTTTTTTTTTTTTTTTCAATCCTGAATTAATGTCAGTTCTAGTGCAGACAAGATCAGCTTCCCCTGATCTTCTGAGTCTGCATGATCTGGCTCAAGACTACTTACCATAGTATGTTAGTCTCTTTATTTAAGCCCTGTTGAAAACGAAAGTACCTTTTATATAATTTACTGACCAGATATGGAGCTTTTCTAGTCTGCCATAGGTGCTCAGCATTTCATAATGTGATGACAAGGGAAATGGCCCTATTCCTCTGCAAGAGAGACTTGCTGCAATGTTTGGTCTGGTTGCAGTTGATCAGCAATGGTCTACATGTGCTTGAACGGACCTCAGTTGAATATCATCGCTGGGAGAATCAAACATCTCTCCCTATCTTTCAGGACCTGTTTCTAATCACCAAGTCAGGGACTATTTACAAGTGTGAGGATGGCATGCTTTTGCCTCACCATACAGGAAATAACCAGAAGCAAAGGACCAGCAAACAACAGAACATTTTAGTAGACAAGATTAGGGCCTTAGGAAGAAGTGTCCAGTTTTTCCTCCAGACTGTTTAGTATTATGGCACTCTCTAGAGGTGAGACGTGTGGACTAACACCTCATAAGAAGAAAGAGGAAATTGAGCAGAAACATAGTCAGGGGACAGACTGAAATTTGGGCTTATACTTCACGTGTTTTGAAAAGAAAAAAAAAATCCAACAGTAGGGACTTGAAATACTTTTCCAGGGAGAGTCTGAGCTGTAATTCCAGAGTGGCAAGATGCCCTTGAGCACCGAATGAGGCACCCCAGGCAGGCACAAGGCTGTTATATCTGTCTTTGTGGCACCTCTTACTGGCTCATCCACTGAGCTCCCTGCTGAGGATGGGAGTTGCTTTGGGAGCTGCTCTGGAGTGCCTGGACATTCACCACTGATTTCCATTTCTGCTCCCAGCTCTTGGAGGTAGGTGTTCTGGTTTTTGGTACTGAGTCCGACTCTGGACTGAATCGTTGGTGCACTGCCCAGTAAAACAAAAAGTTGCTTAAAAATCACTGTTCTTGGTGCCAGCTGAGATAGAAAAAAGTAAATGTCAGGCCAGAGACTTATTGCAGTGTGTTTGTGAGAAAATTACTTCTCTGTATTCTGAAAGGTACAGTTAAGTAAGGGGAATTCTCATTATCCCTATGTAATACTAGGAAAAAAAACCCTGTATAAATAACCTTCATTCTGAATTGAAAGCACTAGGGAAACTGAGAATTGCAAACTGTATCAATGAGTCATCTTGTTTTGCCTGCTGTGGGCAACACATTTTCCACTGAGTTGCAGGATTACACTTTCTTATTTGGCTGCTATAATTTCCACTGTCTGTGTGAGAGTAGAGATGTTGGGACTGGGAACTCCATATTTTTCATTGTGACAGTCACCTTTATAATATTGTTCTTTGAAAATTAGCAGCATTATTTTGTTAGTTTGTTTGCTTTTTTATTTAAGAACCTTTTTTGGCATGCAGTCTCACCAGCTAAAAAAATCCAGAGGGTTTGTAGAGCATATTAATCTTCCTCATTTGAGTGACCTTGTTAAACTCTGTGCAGATAGTGATAATTTAAATTATTTTTACATAAATCAGGGAATAAAATTTATCTGATCTACTGATTTCACTATGCATATATTCCACCTTTTATGACTGAAGTCTACAACCTGAGGCAGATATGTTTACCTGTATTGCAGTTTGACTTTATGAACAAAAAATTAACAATGACAAAAAATAATATAATGATTTTTACTGCAATAGAATTCTTCCTAGATTTGCCCTTCATATCCTTTTTTCTCTTTTTTTTTTTTTGGTTCAGTTTTAGGGTTTTTTTTTTTTTTTTTTTTAATTTCATTTTTTATCTTCATTTTTTCCTGTTGGAGGAGTGCTAGAAGACAAAGATACTCTGGATGTGAATTTGTTTGTTTTTATGTGAGTTTTTGTTTGGGTTTTTTGGTTTGGTTAGTTTGTTGTTGTTGTTTTTCTAAACCTGAAACTACCTATGAGGCATTTTTTGAGAAGGGATGTAGAGAATGTCTCTGGCTTGCCATTTCTCTGGGAGACTTCATAGTTTTTTCCTGCTCTTCTGTGCCTGCTTTAGTAATTTTTCTGACATTTTCTCAACTTAGTTCTCTGATGCTCTTTAAATTCTAGGTTTCCTCCAAGGCCTTCAGGAGCCGAGGTTATCTTTCAGTTTCCTATAGGAAATACATTTCTCTGTAAAAAAATTTTTGTATATTATTTCTTTTTTAAAATTTGCTAAAATTAGACATATTTCTTCTCATCAACAAATAATATCACGTGAATATCTTGTGAAATTTTAGTGCTTCAGTAAACAAGATTTGTTACAACCAAACCAGGGGTCCTTTCATGAACTGGAAGAGATTTTCCTCAAGGAACAAATAGGAAGTAGGAAAAATAAGAAAGATAGATAGAAAATACAGGAGGAGCAGGAGGAATAAGACACTCTTGCAAGTGTAATAGACCTTTGTATGGTAGTGTTCCCAGATGAGAGTACCATGTCATCTTAAAACATATGGTACAGAAAAAAACCCCACATTTTATAATATTTTCTTTCATTGATTACCAAGTACCAGTTATTTCTCAAAACCACAATAATTATCTGTTATATATAGGTGTATGACGGTGTTCACAGGGGTCTTGGGTTGAGGGAAGAGACGAGGATTTGACTCCATGTTTCAGAAGGCTTGATTTATTATTTTATGGTATATATTACATTCAAATTATACTAAAAGAATAGAAGAAAGGATTTCCTCAGAAGGCTATCTAAGAATAGAATAAGAAAGAATGATAACAGAGGCTTGTGGCTCGGACTCTCTGTCCGAGCCAGCTGGGCTGCGATTGGCCATTAATTAGAAACAACCAACATGGGCCAATCAAAGATCCACCTGTTGCATTCCACAGCAGTAGATAATCATTGTTTACATTTTGTTCCTGAGGCCTCTCAGCTTCTCAGGAGGAAAAATCCTAAGGAAAGGATTTTTCATAAAAGATGTCTGTGACATAGGTGTAACACTTTAATCCCTTAATATTGATAACGCTGGCATCACTTGCACTAGTAGTAAACTAAATATAAGTGAATATGGTAGAACAGCCAGCTTTCAAATAGGTTTTTTTGAAACTCAGTCTTTTTTTGGAAACTTTGCAAGTTGGTTGATTCTTATAGTCTTAGCAAGTTTAGAAACTTACTCCTATACAAAATGTATTTTTAGCTGTTCTCTTCTGCCCAAAATAAAGTGATCCTCAGAAAAGAAATTGCTAATTCACCTCAAGGGAAATTTGGCACATGTAACTCAGAGCTACACTGGGCTGGTGGATAATCATAATTTCCATATTGCCCATAAAAATGGAAACATGGGAAAAAAACGGATGTTAATTAAATGTCTTAAGTACTGAAATGACCACAGATGTGTGGGGAAAATGCACAATTCCTTAATTGATATTAGTGAGCTTTGGACCAGTTCACTTCTCGATTTTTACTGAGATAACAAGGCAGACTTTATTTAAAATTGGAATAAGATGTCATGAATTTATTATTTAGGCTAATGAAAATTTGGAATTGGTATTGTAAAAAACTTACCAGTGCTCATGTACTGCATTAGTTGCATACAATTGCCACTAAAATCAGCAATAGGTGGTTGCATCCCAAATCTTCCTGGCTTTCCTCACTCATTCCCAAACTCTGTCCCAGGACAATTCCTGATCAAAAATCTAGGAAATTACAGTAAATGACAATATGGTTTGTGACAGAGGAGTGGGTGGGAGAAAATTATGCATGTAAATGCCTGGAAAATTGGAAAGAAGACAGAGAAATGTTGTGTGTAAGTGCCATATTTTCATGCCACTAAAATGGCACAAAATCAAACAGTTCCTCCCTCCCAATTTTTCCTTTTACATAAGAAATCTTAATGTGCTAAATGGAAGTTCCTTAGTCTGTGATGGTTTCTGAGCTTCATGTTGGTCGTGATGCACAAGTAGAGCAGAGAACCAGTGGCTACTTCTGCTTACTGTGAAGTTTAGGTGCAAGAAAAACTCTCTCTGGAGGTCAATGTAGATTTTTCTGGGCTTAGTTTAGACTTTATTGATTTAACAGAATGTGGATGTGCTGAATTAGATTTGAGGCTTTCTCCAACCCTTCTACTTGACTGTGATCCTGTTACCCTCCCTATCCTCTCCATCCCTAAGCTTGCCTCTCCCAATTCACTAGTTAGTTTAAAAAGAGTGTTGTTATAGGAATTACTTTTGAATGTTTGGATCTAGTTAATTCTTTTATTAAATAAGACTGAGGAATGTGAAATATTCCAGCAGTAAAATGACCCCACTCAAGAGGGTTTTTAATTTTCTTGACAAAGACACACTCTCAATAAAGACAAGCAGCTGCTACTGCTTTCCTCTCTGGTGCAATTCCCATTCTGATGGACTCTGCAAATACTATTATGTAAGGAGCACAAGGCTCACTACTCAAGCAGACATGCACACATGCCCACTCACATATTAGTCTGTGTTTGAATGTCATCCAGCAGAAAGTTAAAATGGAAAGGGAAATTTTCAGTTGTTCTGGTTTCAGTAAGTTTCTCCATCAGTACAGCAAAGATTCACTCATTGACCCAGAAAATCAAAAGAGGACACCTGAAGTCAGGAATTGTGTAAGAGAAACTGGACACATTGGCCACTGAAAAATTAGTTTCTTTTTTTCCTCTGTTCTGTTGACTACTTAAAAGCTGATCATTTTATATGTGTCTTTGGATCTAATTTTTCAGATGCATCAAATTCCTTATGCACTGCAATTTTTTACCTTTATCCTGCAACATTGGTGAACAATGACAAATGCAAAATTTTGCTCTGTCTGGAGGATAAAAGGAGATTCCAAAAATCCTATATTGTTGAAATTTGAGCTTTTTAATATTGCTAAAACAGTGAATATTTCTGACCTGTTTAGTTTCTGAGCCATTAATCTTCTTTAGTTGAGTGTACATGAGAAAGGAGGACTTGACTTGAGATGAGAGTAGAAGTTTAACAGAGCACTAGGAAGCTTAGAGGTGAGCATGTCTTTTTTAGTTTTTTTTCCCCAGTTAGACTGTTGTGTCCTTAGTAACATTTCAATATTTTTTTTTTGTGTAGAAAACAAGGATAGTTAAAATCCATTTGATGATGTTCATTCATCTTCCTGCTGCTTGAACCCTAATCAGAGACCTTAACCTTAACTTTGAAAAAATTTAAATTCTTTTTATTATCTGCTTGATATTTATGGTCAAGTTCAGGTAGGTAATTTTGAAAATTATGTTTTACAGATTGAAAGACATGACAACTGTGCGTATGACTACTTGGAAATCCGAGATGGAACAAATGAAAACAGTCCTTTGATTGGTCACTTTTGTGGCTATGACAAGCCAGAAGACATTAGATCTACCTCTAATACCCTGTGGATGAAATTTGTTTCTGATGGAACTGTTAACAAAGCAGGGTTTGCAGCTAACTTTTTTAAAGGTAAGTGTTAAAACATATTTTGAGAGTTATGAACAGCTTATCACTTCTTCTTGGACTAGAAAATTATGAAGGGATATTAAAAATATTTCTCAATCTTTTTTTTACTACTAGACTGAATAGAGTAATTCTTCCAGGGCATAAAATTTATTCAAAACAAAACAATAGAGGTTTTTGAATCTCCTAGTAAAATGTGTCCAAAGACTGAAGGAACATATTCAGCACAACTTTCTACTATCTTCAGGTTCAGTTAATCAACTTAGTTCTGAAATATACCTAATTTTGAAAAATGGCACATTTTTTACATTGTGTTATCAAATATAAAGTTAAACAGTGTAATTGCAAATGGCTTTTTTTTCCTGTTTAAGTTTTTTTTCCTTTTCTTTGTCTAAATCTTGTCAGTTTTTTTCTGATCTATTTTCTGGGTTGGTCTGCTTTATTACTCTCTGTAAGGAGGGAAAGAAACCAAAAAAGAGATCAGAAATCATCTTGAGCAATAACCTCATAGTCTTCTGTGAAGCTTAGGTGCAAGAAATGGTGTTTTTTGGGGGGAGGAGGGTGTCATACAACTGCAAAAATGCCTGAAGCATTTGATACATGGAAAGTTTGTAATTTGCACATGGTGCTGCTGGTGGCACAGTAAGCCACCGGCAGTGGTGTGGCCATGGTGATACTTGAAATAGAGGTCATGCCACCAGGAAAACCTTTTTGTTCTTTTGAAAAGAAACCATGGCTTTTCTAATCCCAACTGATAGTTTTAATTGTAGGCAATTATAATTTTGAAGGCTATAGGCATGACAGTAGGAGCTCTTATTTTTTTCCCTGAGAAATCACTTGTCCTGGTGTAAGAAAATAATATTCCAGCATTTTAGGAATATTTCAGTGATGAATCTCATGGGACTATTTCAGAGCTAGCAGAGAGAACACACAATTCCTTTCCCTCCCCCAGCCCTGATTCATCTTGTTCCTTTTAATATCAGTAGAATAAAAACCTAGGATTTGAGGATTCTGTTAATCTGTTTTTGAGTATGAATTCAGGATAATGTACAGATTGATTCTGAGGGAGATAAAGTGCCCTTCAAGTGACCCTACTGTGGATTTTCAATCTTTCCTTCAATACTTTGTACAATCTTTAGATTATAGCTGCCTGAATTACTGTATGCTGCACACAAAGTGCTTATAAATTAGTTCTGCAGCTGTTAGTAGGTACTGTTAAAAAAAAAAACAAAAAAACAAACAAAACAACCCAACAAAAAACCACACCCCACATAGGAAAAATTTTTATTTTCTCTATTGCAGGTCTCCTTAGCATTTGAAAATACTCTAGTCAGCAACCACAGTGGTTTATGCAGTGCATCTTATAATGGCATGCATACAGCTTTCTGGGTTAATATTGATCCAGCAGTTACAGCTGAGGAAGGTAATTATTTAACACATTTTTGCATTCTTGCCTGTCTTGGTAGAGGAAGATGAATGTGCCAAACCTGACAACGGTGGCTGTGAGCAGCGCTGTGTGAACACCCTGGGCAGTTACCAGTGCGCCTGCGATCCTGGCTACGAACTTGGTCCTGACAAGAAGAGTTGTGAAGGTACAGTGTGCTGCTGTCTTATGGGCTCTTAAAGATCTCAGAGTGCCATGGCCTGAATGAAATGCTACACGTCTCTTAGGCTCTGTCTGAGCAGCATGAGATCTGTGGAACCCAACCCAGAAAACCAGTGCTGTCCTTTTAGTAGTCATGCCAGAGCCATGTTTGTCCCGTGTCCGTCAGCAATTTCGTTTTGCGGATTTTGCTGTTAGTCAATCAGGAATGGTGCAAAATAGGACTCCATACCACTTATTACACTATTCATACTCACTAAAGCCAAGTCTCTCAAGGAGACAATAAACAGCAGAAATGTGCCACTTTCTCAGAATCAGTGTTTAATGACCCCTCTGAGCACCTCTGACTGGGATGTGCCTGGGAAGCTGGCAGGTTTAGAAGAGCAAGGTCCTCTATTTTAGCTCAGAGGAATCCTCCCCACTCCTAGTCACACTGTGGACTTTTCTTAATTTTCAGGGTGAGCAAAGTGTGTTCAAATAATCATTTGGAGAAAAAAAGAAAGAGATAAGCGGAAGTCCGTGTAAACATAGGATTGAACTGAGATAAGATTTTGCATTCTATGCATATTTCATATCAAAGGAAAGAACCATAAGCTCTTGATCATTATGCACCAAGTATTGTTTGATTTCTACTCATAGACACCAATAAATCAAAGGATAGCACAAATTTATTCTTAGCTCATCTGTTTGACTAGGGAATGGATTTTGAAAATTGGGGTGCTTGGAGTCCTGGTTTTCTTCTGATGCAATTCACTGGTCTCTCTTTTTTCTAACTTCCTGTCTTTAATTTATTATTTTTCACAGTTTGGGGTAATTTTGCCTAGTTTCTTTGCAATTCTTTCTTGTTATTTTGCTTTTGGATCTGCAGTGTTGGTTTTGGTTTTTTGTTTGTTGTATGTTTGTGTGAGCTGGTGGAAGTCCTAGATTAAAGGCATGTTAGACTGTGGCTCTCATCAAGCTGGCTGGGAGTTTTTTTGGTTGTTTTTCCTCCCTCACTGACCTTTAGTGAAGAAAACATTGGAAAAGCAAGTTATTTGGATGTCTGCGCATTAGATAGACAATAAGAAAACGAGTTCAATCAAAGGGAGGGCCATGAAGAGAAAGGTTTGATCTCTGGGCTTTTGATCATCAGCCCAAATTTACATAAGGAATTGAGTTTAGTCTGCTTGCTGACTCAAGTCAGAATATTAGAGAAGTCTGTCAGAAGGCTCTTCTCTCTGCCTCTGAAAAACAGAAGAGAGATACATTCCTGGCACCCAAACAGTAAAACAACTCTGTCAAAAGAAGTCACTCTAAGCACTGCAGTGCAGTTTAGAGCAAAAACCATGAGCTATCCCTGAAAGTGTGTATGTGTTTGTTCCAGCTGAGGTGGCACTCACTGTATGTAGATAGTACTTGGAACTGCTGAATCAAAATTTCTGTGTAGTCACTGTGCACATTACTTCCTTGTTATAGTTTGGGCCATTTGTGTGAGCTAGCTCTATTAATTCACATGTGAGTAGAAGCCTCTAGTCAGAAACTTTGCCTTATACTTCACTGCAGTGTTGACATGCACAGAAATTTGCTTTATGATCTTCTAATCCAAGTCTACTCCAACGGCAGCATGTTAGAAAGGGTTACGATTTTCTTTTTTCACTATTTAAACATTTTCCACCCTTGCCTCAAGGATCAGTAGAACAATGTTCAGAAGCAGAAATTCAAATCTGGCATTAGTTTCTCTGACCCAGATTGGATCATTTGAGGGGACAGTTTGTGTCATCTGCGTGCAGTCTTTAAACCCGTGTCTGGTCTTGTTTGATACACTGAGGTGTGACCCAAGGTCTTAGTTCACCCATTCCCATCAGATTATTACTTTTACATGTATACCAAGAAGTGTGCTGCATGGAAAACTAGGCAGCAGGAGAAACACTGGTGTGTGTCTGAGTTGACAAAATGAGCCTTGACATAGTAACTGGTGAATTCTCCCAGCTGTGTTAGATGGAGTGGATGCAGTATGTGAGATCATCAGCTAGGCTGCTATAGCCAGTTTTTAAAGCATTCAGTGTTAGCGGAGAGCAGTTGAGCAGAGCTCCTTCCTTCAGCTCTTTGGAAGGAGATTTGTGGATGATTTCCAGTGCTGTCACAGTGCTGTAATGGTTATCAATGTAGCAGAGTGTGATTGAGAGCTTCTCTAAATCCCCTTACTTTCCTTTAAAAAAAAAGCACAGATGGAAAAGATTAATGAGTTTATCCTTTGCTAGTTGAACTGCATTCAAGAACGTTGTACAGTATTTTTCCGTTTTATGGAGGTGATTATTTGGCATATACTTGGAAATAAGATGCATTTTCTCTTTTAACTGAACATCCATGATTCAGCAAAAGTAATTGTGACTGAAGTGTATGTGACTGCTCTTCCTACCTAGTGGGTTATGGGAGGCATATACAGCCATATGAGCTGAGACAGGTAGGGCTGATTCTGCATCTGTAATGAAGGAGAGAAGCACATCCTAAGTATCCCTCTGTCAGAAGAGGGGTGGTCAAGGTCTTGGGGAGGGCAGTGAGGTCAGAGGACTTGCATGGGAAAGGCTGTGAGAGAATAACCAGAGTCTCTGGAGGGAGGGGAAAAGAATGAATATGATAACGCCTTGTGTAGTCCTGAAACTTATCTCTGCCCACAAACCTGCAAGCTGTTCAAGATAGGGGCTGTCTCTTTCTCTTTGTTTGCACCAAGCATGATAAAGCAAGATTCTGATTAGTCTGTCTGGGCATTGCAGCATATAAGTAATGAGAGGACTGACTCTTCTTAGCATGTTTCTGTTTATAGTAAAACACACTGTCAGTCAAGAAATGATGTTCTCTTTTAATTTTACAGCTGCTTGTGGAGGACTCCTGACAAAGCTAAATGGGACTATAACCACACCAGGGTGGCCAAAAGAGTATCCTCCAAACAAAAACTGTGTGTGGCAGGTGGTTGCCCCAACGCAATACCGAATTTCAATGAAGTTTGAGTTTTTTGAGTTAGAAGGGAATGAAGTAAGTAACGAAGAGCTGCACAATCTGTTACACTCTAAGTGGTTTCACAAGCATTCAGAAATGGATATTGTCTTATAGAACCCTTGCTGACCTTTCATATGCTGACAATAAGCATGGATATTCTTGTTTTCGTTTTGGGACTGTTTCTGGATTCTTTCAAAACAAACATGGAAAGAATAGCTCTCTTTTACATATCATTGAAATGTATATGTATTACAAGAAATTTTAAAAAAGTGTTCTGAGTCTCAGCTGACTTTTTTATCAACAAAATAAAACAGAGCAAATGGGGCTGAAGCATATTGGAAAGAATTCAAGAGAAGAAAATCTGGAGAAACCAAATCATCTTTACAGACTGACTAAAAAGAATACACATAAGCTGTGGTTAGTGATGGAGTGAGGGAGCATTTAAATCACTTACAAGTATCTCACTGGGGAAATAGTTTGAAGTGAGCAGTACCAGAAATAGATAGAACATGATAGAACAGCAGCAGTTTTTGAGCTGGGCAACCCCCAGAGGCATGGGGGATCTTCTGCCCAGGGAGGAGGAGGGACAGGGCAGAGCCCTCCATGTGCGGAAGGATGCTCCTTACAGCTTTAAACAAAGTGGTGGGTGTTGCAGTGCTTTTGGGATGAGAAGCAGTAAAATGTGTGTTTCAACATCCTTTTCACTTTTTGTTCTGCTTTGTAGGCAATTCTCTGTCATATTGAATTCCCTCGCCACACTCCAGCCATAACATGCTGTAACCACTGAGTTTAAATGCACATTTTTTACATGGCATTAAGAACACAAATCCCAGGATGTTATTTCTGACATTTCTATTTATTTCTAAAAAATTTGTAGCAATGTATTTAGTATAAAGATGGCCTACTTTTTAGGCAGAGGTATTTGAAGGTAGAAAAGCTGGAGTTTGATTTATAACTAAGAACCAAACCAGCCATGACTTCTCCAAAATACCTCAGTATTATTTTCAGAGGCAACAATGTCCAATTTTCAGTGAGGTAAACTTTACACTTATGTCCTGTAATCATTATGACTAGAAGTGCAAGAGATGTAATAAAAGCTCAAAAGTCCCAAAGAATTGAAATTTAATTACCATTTGAACAAGTCATAAAAACCTTTTTCTTGCCCTTTCTTGGTACATGGGCAAGATATGACCTTCTCTAAGGTCATAAAAGACATTCAGCATAAACAGACAGAAAAATTCTAAATGCATTTCAGGAATCAGAACTGGCATTTGATCATCTCATGTGCTACTAAATCTTGGCTTCATACTGTTAAATAGTAGCATTAAGGACAGATGCCTGTGAAAATGAGAAGAAACATAGTATCTGGAAAATTCTAAGATATTGTCTGAGTGCAGACATGAAATCTCTGAGTGCAGAGATAAAATTTATCAAGTACTCTATTTTTTTTTTATTTGTTATCGGAGGATTTGTTTGTAAATTTATTTTATTTGTTGTAGGTCCTCCATTCCTCCATTCATGACCAAGTTTAGTATGTCTTTTACACTATTATCATTTTAATATTTTACATTTACATTTTGCAGTTTAACTTGTAATTTTTTTTCAGGGCAGTGTAGTATAGAGGAAGTTAGATCTATTTGAAATTACATTTGATTTCTGATCTAAAGCTAGGCAACCATAAAAACTCAATACTATTATATTGCTGGAATTGGTGGGATTTATCAACGTAGTGAGCTATATTTGAAAATCACAAGCACTATCAGAAATATGTCTTCCAATTAGTAAGTAGGCAGTAACTCAAGTTTTAAGAATCTTTGTGTTCTTTATACTGTATAGAAAGAGTTTTGACTGAATTAGTCACTTTTCAACTCTGCTACATGTGAAAATTCTTCCGGTAACAATAAAAGTTTAATCTACATCTTCAGTGTATTAAAACCAATTGGAAATTATGACAATTTTTCATAGAGAGAGAGAACAACAAAGGCCAAAACATCCTTTTCTATTGTTCTCTTCCAGCTCCCCTGATACTTTTTTTGACTAGAAATTGCAATTTTTCAAATACAACTTGGATTTAATGGACCAATATAAGCTCTGTATGAATCCTCCTGGACAATATTCTCTCTTAAGCTATTAATTGCAGACAACTGGTACATTTTTGATTAAATGATTGATAGTTGAGCCTAAGAAGCTTAGAAGTTTTTGGCTGGATGGCTTTAAGTTGACCAAGGGATTATGTATTGAAAGTATTATCATTAGAACTAGACCTTGCATAAGGCTTTTTTTTATGACATTATATTACTTTATTTTTAACCTTTTAATAAAAATGGCATGCATCATGTTCCAAATTATAGCTATGCTACTGTTGGTGAAAGTTGCATGGTTTTAATAGTGGAAAGTTATATATTTGGAAATAAATGAATATATCTTAAATATGTGATGATGAAAACTTACCTTGTAAGTTTCTAGGTGAAAATTAATATTTAAAAACGTCTTCAAGATGCAAGTAGTAGAAGGTTTGTAGGTATGGGGTATGTGGTTTATAGCACACAGATAGGTGTAATTTTTAGCATCAACATTTCTAGATTTTAGTTTGCTGTCAATGGAATATTTGCTTTTTAAATGAAGTGGAAATACTTTAAGTATCTTGAAATTTAGATATTAAACATAGGTCAACATCTATAAAAATAAAATTTGGAATATAATTCATAGTATAGCTATGTGTTAGTGACCTTAAAACATTCTTACCTATAATTAGCAAATGTAACAATTTACAAATGCTTTCAGAATCAGGAGAAAGTGAAGAAGGATATTGGTGATTTGTTATTCAGCAGTAATATACATACCCATCAGAATTCTGGCATTTGTAAACAGCTTCGTGCTTTTATTTTGATTAGCCAATTATTTTTTCTTTCGTTCTTTTCTCAGGTTTGCAAGTATGATTATGTGGAGGTTCGCAGTGGCCTTTCTTCTGATTCCAAGCTGCACGGTAAATTCTGTGGTACAGAAGTGCCTGAAGTTATCACCTCTCAGTACAACAACATGCGCATCGAGTTTCGCTCCGACAACACTGTCTCAAAAAAAGGTTTCAAGGCACACTTCTTCTCAGGTATGGAACAGTACCCTTGAATACCTGTCAGCACCTCTGGGCGTCCACTGACTAGGTGGAGTGACCACAGTTTTGGTATGAAAATGAGTGGCTTCTTTGCTTATGGTTTTCCTGGTAGCTTTGAAGTAGTTTTATTTGCATAAACATACTCCACTCTCCTGTCTTAAAATACCATTCTGAATTGTAATGTCTGTAGAAAATATATTGAACATATCTATATGTACTTAAGTAACAGCAGAAGCAAGAAAACTTTGTGAGATACAGAGGACAAAAGAAAATTTACTGTATTTCTATGTTTTTATTAGATTTCTTTTATCCCAAGTTTTGTTGCTGGTTTTTTCAAATCCCAGTTGTAAAGTGATACGAATTGCACACTGTGTACTCTTGTATTTTTTCTACTCATGTCTCTTAATGTATTCCATTTGTTGGGAAATTACCACTTTGTGGTACAACATTTGTTTAACATTATGGCTACATCTGTGCCAAACTTTGCACTTCTTAATGTTTTGCAGAAGAACAGGGTTTAAGATCTTGATCTTGCAAAAAAACCCCGTGTCTTTTTATTTATGAGTGTAATTTTACTGAGGGAGATCAGAGCGGTGGAAGTTTATATCGTATGAGGACTTAGACTGTTGAATAAAGTTACACATGAGTGAAGCTTAAGATGTGAGGAAATATTTGCTCAACAGTGGCCTCTGCAATTACCCATTGAGTGTGCAATATAGAAATCTGGCTCTGGCAGGAGACCACTCAGTGTTTGTAGCAAAAGTTTGCTTTTTGTTTTTCCTGCGTGTTTACACACACGCATAGGGATAGGTAGCTTACCTTGTGTGAAACAACAAAAAACACCAGTTCCTTCTGCCCACCTCCCTAAACCAGATGTCAAACAGAAGAATTTGGGAGTTGAATCGTACCCCAGATTTTTTGATAGTAGTGAAAATTCTGAAACCTGGAGAATCCTGATTATACTTAGCATGTAGTAAAATATACTACCATTATTAGCATTTGCTTGCTAAAAATATTTTATGAAAAATGAAATGAAATGGTCTTTCATTGATGACTGCTAATAACTAATAATTATCACTAATAAGAATCTGTAGAATGTGTAAGGAATGTGGTTTGGAAAATGAAAAAAATATCTACCAAGGCAAACAGTTTAGACTTTCAGTATTTTCTTATTATGACTATTTTGATGCTTTTATTAAGCAACTATGAAATATGGAAAGAGGTGTTTTGTCTCATACAAAGACATAACAAACATTTGATCTCCTTTAAGTATATCTCTTTCCTAGTAACCACATTTCTCTGGTCATAATGTTCCAAAGATCCATCTTTACTTATAGTAACACTTCCTACTTTTAAATTTATGATTTGCATTAGCAAGAAGCATTCAAGGTTTACGCATTATTTGTAGTAAATACATATGTGCACACAACAGAGCTTCCTCCTAGAAGCACACAACTAGTCATTTTCTGTTGGTCTAGTTGTGCCAGCAGGAATTGTCACATTGTCTTTTTACAGGAATATATATTGACATGTTCAAGTTCTAAAGACTGCAAATGAAGTTTGTTGAATCTTTTGAAGATCTTACAGATATTTCAGATAAGACTAGCAATGATAGTGCAGTAATTTATATAAGCTCCATGGTTCAGAAGTTGTGTTTCCTGGACAACCTGGTCATTTATACATCTATAGTTAGTTAAATTTTGGTTTTCATTAAAGTAATAGTTTATCTTCACATATGAATTTATTTCTTTTGCTCAAGTGATTTTCTTTAAATGAGTAGGTTCCACCAATGCTGTATCTTGGGGAATGACTAGACTGAAGGTCATGGATTACAAAGCATCAGGTTGTAATTCTTCAGAACTAATTTTCCCTTATATATTTCAGTTCTGAAAGAAATGTTCTTATCTTTCCCTCACAAGGTAATTTCAAAAAGAAATTTTTAAGTGATGTCATTGATCACAGAATAAGTTCTTTAGTCAGGGATAAGTTTGAACTAATGTATTTTTCAATAAATAGAAATGTGTTATGTGTCCTAGATATTGTATATATCTAATCCCATTAAAAAAAAAGATAGTTTGATATAAAAAGCCTTTGAATCTGTAAGTATGTAAAGTTTCTGAGTGCTTCATAACACATTCCTGCCAGCATTTCATATGATTTCAAATATCTGAATATAATATGAGTATTTTATTTTTATTCTTTCTGAACTATCTTCCATTTATTCTAATTTCTAGCAAGTTCCATTCTTCTATGTCATCTGACTTTCATTGTTTGACTATGTTTTCTGATTAAAACAGAAATTTTGTAATGCTTGAGAAAAATCAAACTTCTGAACTTAAAGTATCTAAAAAGAAGATGCCATCTCCAAATAATTAATCAGACATCTTAGGACTGTCAGAAAACACTGTTACTTTCTTGTCCCTGAATTCCTTAATATGGGCATGATATGCTATTCATCTGCCAATAAAGAACAGACTTGAGACTTCAAGTATTTTGACTTTTGGGAGTTGATGACAGAATTTTTCAGCTGATGAAGGGCTGGTTTTTTGCCTGTTTATATGTATATTAAACTTCAGACTACTATAATTTTAGAATGATATCTGTGTAGAAATACTTTGACACTTGATTGCAGACATTTACCATTTTTATTAATTGAATCACAATAGATGTGGAAGCACTTAGTTATAAAGACATAAATAATGACAAAAAATGTAATGAGTAAAACACTGCATCTTGCACTCTTTTCACCAGTAAAGGCCATATGCAATGCTTAGCAATATAGAAAGGTGGATAAGTTAAATTAATGTGAAGATTAGGAACTGAAAAGTGTTCCTCAAGCACAGCCAAAGAACTACTCTTTTCTTCCGCAACTCTTTTGGTGGTGAATTCTGCACCACAGCTAGAGATGAGGAAGCATGGCCCAGCTCCAGCTCAGACGACAGAAAGCAGTTTTTGGGTGGTTGAAACCTGCTGTGATAAACTGTGAAAGCAAACAGTGACATAGGGCAACAGATGACCTGCATTAGGAAGGTATTTATGTTGATACAAGACAACATGTAATTATATTTTTGGCTGTAAAATAGTGTTAACAGCCAGACAGGTGCTACTGGAAAGTGAGAATTTTTTTTTTCAGCATTCTGTAACATTTACATTTGATGGGACAGTTCTGAAGAAAGCTCAGTTAGGAGTCTCTGCAGGGATCTAGCTGAACTACGGAGAATCTATTGTATATTTATAATCACGTTTCTCAGATAAAGAGAGGAAACTGGGGGTCAATATATATTTAAAAAAAAAATAATAAAGCTTCTTGGAATTGGATATTAGGCTTCCAATAATTAGTTTTTTATTCTTCTCCCTCTGTCTTTCTTCTGTCCTCCTCTGTCTCCCGCTTTTTTTATAAGACCAAGACCTCGAAGTAAGTCCCTGCAGGACTCAGCACACCCTACTGGGCCTGTAAGACTAGAGAAGTTTTAAATAATTTCAAAAAGATAACAATAATATATATATATTTAAATACCCTTTTTTTCTGTGATCTTTCTGAAAAGATGACCTGAGGATTAGTCATAGTTTGTCATTAAACTGCTTCCATTTATCATAGGTTTCAGACTTACTGTAGTGTTTTAAATAAACATGAGTGATTCTCTGCATAGCATTCAAAATATACATGGGTTTTGATATAATGTAAAAATGAGGTTTGTTGGGACATCTCTTCTGGTGGTATTCATTGAGCAGTTAAAAAGAGAAAGCTAGAATGTTTCTAGCCTTGAACAAAAACTCATCTCTGGTGCCATCCTGGTACGTTTTTTTCCACAGACAAGGAAGCTGCCTGCAAAGAGAAAATTTTTGTTTTTGAATCTTGCAAGGACTTGATACAGGTCCCTTCAGGCCGAGTACCTATTATTCACAGACTGGTGGCCTCTGAGGGTCTCAGAGGTACGACCATTTGTCCTCAGAATGATTCAATGTATTATTTTCTTGAGAATGGATCTTTCCTTCTTCTGGGTACTGAAATGAGAAAAGAAAGAAAGTATCCATTTAAAATTGGGGGTACTCATTTCCATCTGTCAGCATAACAAATGGTTTTGTTTTTACATGGCAAAACATTTGTTCTTGTAACTAATACAGACTAATTGTTGGGGGTTTTTTCACAAATTTTTAAACTGGGCAATCAATTTGACAGAAAGTCTGTTCTCAATTATGAAGTGTGAGGAAGGCTTGTTCAACAGTTGCATCCTTGATTAACTATGTACAAGTAATTATTGTAGCTCAAATGTGTTCCAAAACTTCTCCTTTGTACCTTCTGTCCATTATTTTATTTCTGAGGACATCCAACGTGGGACTATTTGCTTATGCGCTTGTCTCTTAAGAGATTATTTTGCAGAATATAAGCATATCTAAAGTTAAAATACTTTTCAGTGTTTTTGTAGAGTTGGGTGGATGATGAAAATGGTCAGGGCTTTTATTTATTTAGAATTTGTGTGCCGACTCTGTACTTGAAAACCTAACTTGAATGCATTTTGAGCTTGCCTTCCTTTCCTTTTGTTATTCTGGTGGAAAATTACAAACTAATACTTAGGAGGGAAATATTGAAGAATTTTGTTCATAATAGTTCTAATTTCTCAGTTGATTGCTACTGTTCTTCACTTGCAATGTGGAATTAATTTGTGATAATGCTTGCTTTTGCAAAATTATGACTTCGGTTCGACATTGCGTAGATTTGCTACCTCAGTTAGGGACTTGCTTTGCAAGGTGCATAAACAGTGCATTGTGGAGCTTCTGTGCTTCCTTTCATCATCAAAATGACAGGTAGTATCTCTTTGAATGTATGGTTCCAAGAGGTATCTATGTTTTCAACTCTTTCTTAACCTTCAGATCTGTTCACATTTGCAGAAAGCTTCCGAAAACTTTAGGTGCAAACAGATTTGAGAGTTACAGTACAAAATGCAGTGGATGCTTGGGTTTGACATGCAGAATTTACCTATAAATGCACATTATCATCTTGTATTATAAGTAGAAGCTGATTTTTATGGAAAGACCTGCAAGTCAACAGGTCAAGTGCTGAAAAACATTTCGGCAGAGGAAGATGACGTGTATGCAATTACAATGCAAACTTCCTTTGTTGAGTTACTGAATATGAGCATCAGTAAGGGCACGGAAAAAAATGCATGAGTAAGACAGCGAAAAGAGACTTAAATCATCCATGGTGGCTTCTAATCTATAGAAATTCTTGCCATACCTGGTAAAGTGTGAAATATCACATTGCCTTGTTTGGGGATAATGTTAACTGTTGCTTTCCAAGGTAAATAAGACTGAAGGGGGTAAATGGTCTGCATTCCACAACAACCAGACCTCTGGGATGACCAAAATTCCTTTGCTCTTTTTCCTCCTCTTTTTTACATGTTGAAATGGCACATTTAGTAAAATACAGGGGAGGTTTAACATGTGTGTCTTTATATACATACATATATATATATATTTATATCTATATATTTTTATATCTAAGAATGTATACATATTTGTATGTACATTTATAGTTATATAGATGTGCACACATATATGCATGTATGTGTATATACATGTCAGGAGAATATCCATATATTTTTATATCTAAGAATGTATAGATATGTGTGTGTACATTTATAGTTATATAGATGTGCACACATATATGCATGTATGTGTATATACATGTCAGGAGAAGTCTGCCTCTTTTAAAGGGACCAGCCTCACCTAAAGCAAGAACAGCTGAATGACATAGAAGCATGGCAGCAGAGGCCTCTTGCTACTATGACAGCCTGTTAATCTAGTTTGGCTTTTTTCCATGCAATGAATTTGTAGCTGTTTAATGCAGGTCATATTTCCTTCACTACTCTCTGCTTTATTTCTAACACACTAAAAGCTCTTTTGAAGGATTATATGTTAATAAACAGAACTGTGTGCTACATTGTAGCTCTTGAACTAACTAATGCCAAATTCTTTTTTTTTTTCTTTCAATGAAATGTTTGTCTTTTTGTGATGGTCTATAATGTCCAGATTCATTAAAAGTAAAGCACACTGTCACTCTGCTGGGGAAAAAAGCCCAACTTATTAGAAAAGCTTATGTGAAATCTTTCTCTTCTTACATGTTTAATGTGTAGAAGTTAAAGTCTTTTTTTGATCTATGTGTTCCTTGTTCCTTTCAAGATATCACCATTATGGAATTTGCACAAAGCTGGAATAATATGTGTTGTCTGTAAACTACACTACCATTGTTTACTAAGATAAAACTGGATATTTATGAAACTTTTACCAGCTAGACCACTTGAAAGAGTAAAAGCTGGTCAATCTCTTACCTCCTTTGTTCTAGCTTGTTTGTTTTACTAGTCTTCTTCTCCCTTAGGAACTAGTGCTCAATTTCTAGAAAGATGAGACAGACTCTTTGTGCCACAGAGCAAGGCTGCAGGCTGAGCAAAGAGTGACCTAAAACTAAGGCACCACAAAAGTGCCTCACTGGGAAGAGTGACTGTGCTGTAGCTTATCTTGCTCTGGCCTCAGGCTCCGTGCTCCTCTTGGTAGCAAGGTCTGCTGGGAGCTGTGTGCTCACCTGAGCTTGTTGTGTGTTTTGTAGACAAGGATGAGTGTTCCAAGGACAACGGGGGCTGCCAGCACGAGTGCATCAACACAGTGGGAAGCTACGTCTGCCAGTGCCGGAATGGATTCGTGCTACACGAAAATAAACATGACTGCAAGGAAGGTGAGCAGGAAGGCAGTGGAGTGGTTGGTTACACAGCTGTCTCACAGAAAGCTTTCTGTAGCTCTCCTTTCAAACAAAAGAAAGGAAAAGAAGTTTTCGGTAATGGGGTTTTAGACATTTGGGCTTAAACGCAACAACACCCCTCCCCTTTCCCATCCCCTCCATCCCCAGCATTTGTGTGGGCTGAGTTTGAGGTCCACAGGAATGAAGTTTGGAAAACTTGGGATCATTGGCACAGAGTGCTACTTTCAATAGTTCTGTGAAGTGTAGAATATTTAAAGCTCTGATAAAGTATTTATCTAAGGCTGTATTAAGCACAGGGGTAGAGTTTCTGGAGAGAAGCCTGGTAAAGTTGTGATTAGCTGCTATCAGTAGCAGTTAGTTTCCTCACAGCCAGGTTGAAACCATACCTACTCTTTCTGGGTTTGTTTTAGGCGACATGTTCAGACAATCTAAGTTCCAGCAAAGCCCTGAGCGTCTTTCTTCCTTTGTCTCTCTCGAGGTGGCTACCTTCAAGAAAACAATAGGCTTTGGGACTTAAGTAGAATTTAAATTCTCTGCAAATGAACCTCAAGTGTCCAATATCGTGAGAGCTGCTGTAATGTCTCAATGTTTTCTAGCATGGATTTAATCTGAGAGTAAAGACATGCCCTTTGTGAATTATTTGCATTTTCACTGGTTTTGGTTGCCCACTCTAAAAGGTCTTTTTTTTTTCTTTCAAAGAATTCTCTGATATTTAGAAAGCAAATTGAGATTGCTAAAAGTAAATACAAAAATGCCTTCTTTTAGTTCTGGGTGCTAGTGGTTTAGTTGCAAATTCAGTGACTAGGCTGCTCTTAGTACATACTTACAGTTTAGTCTTAGCTGTTCTCACACTGTGTATATGTTTACCTAGAAGCTGTGATTTACAAATCAAATTGATTGCTCTGAAGCTGCAGTGAAAATTACCAAGAAGAGAAAAAAATAAATTGTTTGAGAAATTTCTTTTGAAGTTGGAGTAGTGAGATTTTCATATGGATTTACACACTTACTTGTATGTAGGGTGGGGGGAATGGGAAAGTCCTTTATATTTATCTTATGTTTATTCCTGTATAAGACTTTCTCTGAAAAAAGCCATCCATTGTAAACAGCAGTGTATGTTTCACAACAATCCATAAAGAAACATGCTGGGTTAATGCTCTAAAGCACATGCCTGAGGGGAATAACATGACTATGCACTCTGAAAAGCATGCTTACCTATCTTCTTAAATATCCTTTCCACTTGGTGGCTGCCCTGACAAAAAATAGTACTTTGTTGACTACTTCTGAATGCTGACCCCCAGACTAACTGCTGCTATCCCTATTGGCACAGCTGAGTGTGAGCAGAAGATCCACAGTCCCAATGGCATCATCACGAGTCCCAACTGGCCTGACAAGTATCCCAGCAGGAAGGAGTGCACGTGGGAAATCAGTGCCACCCCTGGGCAGAGGGTCAAACTGGTGAGTCTCTGCTTTCCCTTCCTTTTCAGCTTTTCTTCCATCAAGTCAGCTTCTCAAATGACTGCTCAATGATATGAAACTGTTACTAAACCTTACTGTCAGTTTGCATCCCAGAGGTAAACTATTTTAAAAACTTGTTGAATCCTGTCCATTTCTGACCAACAGGGACTACTCAATATCATAGAGTTGTGATTTAAGTTTATAGTGATTGGAAATACTCTCTACAGCAAAGGCAGGAGGAACGCTTTCCTCCTGTCAGACTTTACTATATCATTGTTACAACTCATAAAACTTGTGCAAAGTTTTGGCAAATATGGCAGAAGCCATTTACACAAATTCCAATATATAGAAAAAGCAAAATTTTGAGTTATGAGCAGTCCTCTACACACACCTTTTCCTGTTCTGTTTTTTTTGAGAAGGAAAAAAGATACAAAAACTCTGAGAATCTGGATTTCTCATTTTAAAGTGGTTTCAAATTTTAACTTAAGTAGAAGAGCAGCCTGGAGTCAATTTGTGAATTCGGTGTCCAGCTGGCTGGGGACAGTGCTGGTGTCCAAAGACAGACCTAGCAGAGCTTAGATGGCTTTGCAGGTTTACTGAGGTTATGTGGCCTCTGTATGAGGCCAAAGGCACAGTCCTGCCAATAGGGTTTTTGCTTTGAGCTCAGCCCCAGCATGTCTTCTGCAGCTTACTTGCAGGACAGCCACAACAAAAGCTGGCCTTACATATATTTAAACTTCTTAAATTGATTTTTCAACTGTTTTGGAGCAAATAAAGTTAAGGAGAGAGATATCTCTGTTTCAGAGGTACAAGCAATAGGCAGTAATTGTGCAGGGATGAAGGGTATATTCCAATCTCATAACCGCCAACCTTAGCAAACCCTAACCCCTTGTCCTGGTTTTGGCTGGGGTAGAATTAATTTTATTCACAGTGGCTGGTATGGGCCTGTGGTTTGGATTTGAGCTGACCAACGTTGATAATACAGAGATGTTTTTGCTATTGCTAAGCAGGGCTTACACAGAACCAAGGCTTTTTCTGCTGGCAAGGAAGCTGGGATTGCAGAGAAAGCTGGGGGGGGACAGCCAGGAGAGGTGGCCCAAACTGACCACAGGGATATTCCAGACTATAGACATCATGCTCAGGATATCAAACTGGGGGAAGAAGGAGGAAGGGGATGGTATTTGGAGTGGTGGTGGGGCAGATGTGATGGCTGAACACCTGCCTGCCCATGGGAAGCAGTGAATTCATTCCTTGTTTTGCTTTACTTGTGTGAGCTGCTTTTGCTTTCCCTATTAAAATGTCTTCGTCTCAGCCCACAAGTTTTCTATCTTTCACACTTCCAATTCTCTCTCCAGTCCTACTGGTGGGGCAGTGAGCAAGCAGCTGTGTGGGACTTGGCTGCTGCCTGGGGTTAAACCACTCCTGTTACTGCTGCTGATGTGGGATTGTGTATTGATCCCTGTTTGCCAAAAGTAAAACAGTTGAACTGTACTGGAGGACATGGTGGTGGTGGAGAATGAGTGGTGTGCATGCTCTGTCGATTCCAAGGGTTAAAAAATAGGTTTCTAATTCAGGCAGCCTTCTTACTGCTGCTTCTGAGCAAGTGTTCTTCATACTGGCTGAATAAATTAAAGCCAGCCAGGTATAGGCATGTTACTGTAAAAGCTTTTCCAATACTTATACCCACAGCAGGCAAAATTCCAACATTCAGATATCTTCAGCCAAATATTCCATGGTCTACTTTAGAAAGAAAAGGTATTTTAAATTGGCTTTTGCCAATGGAACTGAAAAAATATACAGAATTTTACTAGATAGAATTTTCAACAATTACTCCATGATTTAGAGTCTGAGATCTGCTCTTCTGTGCAATCCAGTAGGGTCAGTTACTAAATTCTGCATGTACAATATCTTTAAGTTGTGCAGTACAGCGAGGTCCCATATCAATAATATTAATACCATAATTCCACATTGGGTGATTATTTTCTCTTTCACACTGTGTTTAAGTTTACTTTTCATAGTTTTCTTGTTCAGATTGAAGAAGTGGATTGGTTACTTGATGGTAACAAACCACAAGAATTGTGAGGCTGTGCTTTCTTTTTCAAGATGGGTGTGGGCATAGAAACTAATCTTTTGTTGTGATTGCCCTCACTCTGCTAACCATTGAAAAGTGTCTTGCTCTACAGGCTAAATTCAAGTATTTGGTGCAATTAAAAAGCCTATGAAAAAAAAGGGTATGCACTTCAGAACTTTTAAATGAAGCATGTAGATAAAGATGGCTTTGAAAATGTACATAGCAGAGAGACTGATTTCCGTGAGCTAATCAGCCGGATGTTTATAAGAGACAGACTTAAGTGTACCCTCCAGGCAGCTGTCCATAAGTGCCACCAACGTATCTACTTGGTTGAGTGCTGTAGATAGAAAGGGCTGGATGGCCAGAAGCTATATGGAACATTTCTGAGTATCATTCCCACTAAGGAGACATATCACATGGAGTTAAAATAGTCATGGTGGGGTAGGAATTCAAAAGTATTTGTCCCAGGAAGAGAGGGTGTGATTTAATTATACTACCAACTTTATTAGATCATTTGTGAACTCTGTTGGCAGCAACTCTTCAGTTATGGTTAAGGGAAGTTGATGTCAGTTCTCCTCTTTCAAACCTGCAAGCAACTGGCTGACCTTTAAAAAACTGTCTTTGGGTATTTTAAAATATCAGACATTTTTTGATTTTAAAGGACTACGTGCATTAAGATCAGATTTTCCTTTAAAAAGCAAGTTTTCTTTGCATTCCCTTTGGAATTGCTAGAATAGATTGCTATACCCACAACAGATTTAGGACTTTTTCTGGTCATGTTTGAGGGACCCAATATAACATGTACTGTGCTTCTGCAGGTTTGGGAATCCCAGTGAGAAGTCAAATATTAAAAATAATAGGTGTGCCTTGTAGTTCATAATGAGATATGCTTCCTGGAGAGGGTTGGTTTTGTTGGGTTTTTTTTCATGCTGGTGAGAAGTCAACAAAACAGATCTAATTTTCCTCTAAAAAAAAATGAATTTCTGCAGGCTGCTCTTGGATCATGCCTATTGCTTCCATTGATTCCAAGTTGGCTTGACTCAACACTGTGTTTAAGTAACTCCCTTACTGAGACTTAGTCTCTCAGCTTTCTGGGGTTTTCTTAATCCATCAGATTTTATTTTGGTATGAATGACAACACATAGTTGGCATCATAAAAGTAGGATGGCTGACCACAATTTAAGAGCAGCAGGAGTGACGGCTGTACGGCTGTACATTGTCTCTGCAGTTTCAATCCCTTAATGTAAACCCCAAACTTTCACCATGAAATGAACCTGCATTCGCTGCATCACACAGTTCTTCACATAAAATAAGTGGTATTCTGAGTATTGAAGTTCTCTGGGGGAAAAAAACTGTGTTAGCTCTTTAGGTCAGCTTTTAGTATAAATTACCATTGCATTTCACACTCTCAGGGTTCCACAAGTGATTTGGTAGGTCAGATTTGTTTTGGTATACCAGACAGAATGCTTAATTGTGATATTTTCTTAGTATTTGATAGCTCAGTTTTATTCCTTTTAATTATTGTTTCTTAATCCTATTCTGTTTGGGTTATGGGGTTTTGTTTGGGGCCTTCTGAAGTTTTTTTTTCATAAACGGTCAGCTACATGACTGCTCATGAAAGCATGTGTACTTGGTGGTTTTATGCTGTTCGGTTGAACAAAATATATTTTGAATTCCACCTTAAATTGTTGCTTACTCTATACAAAATTCACAAAGATGTATATTGCCTTCACAGTGTTCACATGAGGAGAAATTACCAGATATTAAGCTTCAGGGTTGTTGAAATTTAGCCCTGGTCAAAAAGTCTTATCTGAAAAATCTTAGATGTCCCCTTGAAATAGCTTTGTTTATATCATTCTAGTCTTGGAAGATAGTTTTCCAGATCTGAAATGTGGGTATGAGTTGTATGTGTGTTAACAGTTTCTGTCAGGCATGGCATACACTTTTTGGAAATGCTGAAGTTTGTTCCAACAGACAATTAACACAATTTTGTTGTTTTTCACAATGCTTTTGCTAGTAAAAATGTGACCTTAGCATGAAGGGTGAAGCCTGAAACATCATTAAGAATAGGAAAACAAATTTCTAAATAATAGATTAGAAAATATAGCTTTCATGCATAAAACTTCATGTGGAAAAGTCATTCTCAGAGGCTTTAGTTGCAGTGTGATGTAGGTTTTAGAAAAGGGCAGGGGGGGAGCCATTATGCTTTGCAGATGTTTCTATCAATCCTCAACAATGCAAGGAATAGTAATTTCTGTCATTTTGCTGTTTTGAATGCTCTGTGAAATTTGGAATAATCCTAAAAACAGTGCAAATTTAGCAGAAAGGCAGTACTATTCTAGATTTAATATTCTCTTATAAGTAGTATTCTATTATAGGTAGTAGTTTTTATAAAGATGCTAATGCCTTTCTGTATGAAGGATGATGCATTCTTGAAGTTCAGTGCCTTAACTTTTATTCCAATAAAAGATCAATAAGATCAATATGTTATTCAATTCTACAGGCTTGTAGAAGCAGTAATGTTAAATCTGTCATTTTAACTGCATCCTTGTATTCTACAACATATTAACATATATATGTATGTACCGTGTAAATACAGTCCCACAATGGGTAATTTTACTTTTCTTTCCCCTAGACATTCAATGAATTTGAAATAGAGCAACATCAAGAATGTGCTTATGACCACTTGGAAGTGTTTGATGGTGAAAGTGAAAAATCGCCAATCCTGGGACGCTTATGTGGCAATAAAATACCGGATCCTCTCATTGCTACTGGAAACAAAATGTTCCTCCGCTTTATTTCTGATGCTTCAGTTCAAAGAAAAGGCTTCCAAGCAACTCACTCTACAGGTCAGAGATCATGGTGTGCTTTTTACTAATAACTTACCCATTGTTCTTTAGTGGTTGATGTGCAGACTTTTTTTTTTTTTGTAGGAGTGGGATGAGTTCACAGATGTAACAGCTGTATCTAATGAAGCCTTAAACCCAGTAGGAAAAGTCTGAGATTGCAGAAAGTATTCTCTAATATTTTAGATATTCCTTTCTCTCTGTCTCTCTTTCTCTCATAGGTGAGAAATTAAAAGGTGTTAAAATAGAGTCAAATAAGAAATGAGGTTCCTTAGGGTTCTTGACTTGAGATCATAAAAGATTGAATATCTTTTCACTGTATTTGTAATGACAACACTTAACTGGGACATGTGATGCACCTCCATTACTTTCCTGTTCTAACTTAAACAAAAATCTGGGTTTCATGTAAACAGATATTTCTTTCCTGTAGTGCTTAAAACAAAAGACAAACTAAAGAAGAATAAGGAAAAAACAACATTAAAGACTTTTTAGGACCTTTAGAATATAATATTCTTCATATTTACCATTCAGTTTTCTTGTTTGGCAGAAGTCACTGAAGTTGGAAACAGTGGTTTGTAATTGCATTTATAGAGTTTCTGGGACATTTTCAGTGTATAGATTTTTCCCCTGATGTTGCTTGGCTTACAGTGGCCTCTAGTGCTGAACCTTTGAACATCCAGTGCCTGCAGTAAAACAAGGGGATTAGGGGCTTTTTGACGTTTACTTTAATCTTCAATTATAATGTCTGTCTTTACTTTCCAGAGTTCATTCTTATTTATCCAGGCAATAAATAATTCAGAAAATATTTCATAAATATATCTTCTAGGAGATAAGTTTTAATGATAGGCAATAGTTATGAATAGAATTATAAGGGTAGTGAGTTCTATTACATTGTAATAAAATCTAATAATATATAATAATATATATTATATAAAATATGATATTATTTTATATAAAATATAATTATATTAATAATATATTATCTATATAATATATAATAATATATAATAAAGTAATTGTAATATTACAAGGTTAGTGTAATATGATATTACCGAAAATATCCAGCAAGTTGATGTGTAATGCTCAGCTAAAAAATCCTCATATGTATCAATGCTGGCCTTTTGTCTTTTTTTTCCTTCTTATTTGTTCTAAATAATTCAAAATCTTTAGTAATTTAATTTCCCTTTCTGAGAAAGACAGTAGACAACAGTATATGAAATCTTTATGATCTGAGCCTTGAAAGTGAAAAGTTTAGCTACCTGTAACTCAGGTTTTTTTCTTGTGGAAAATCCTGTTTTACAAGCATACAATGTTTTGCTTTCCCTACTACAGTAACATTTTCCCTAAGATGAAAATTTCGATAGAAGTAATAATTACCCATTTTTAATTACCTTAGAGTATATAATTAAAGGTCAGAACTCTTGCTAGATCAGGTATGGTAAAGCTGCTGTTTCATTTGTTGTCCTCACTTTCAGTTTGCAGAACTGAAAGTAGCAATCAGTATGTGAACAAAGTTCAGATGTACACTCCCTAAATGCTAAAGATTGCAAGTTTTATTATGACCTGCTAAATTTTATGTGCCTTAAATATAAAAACATTTATAGCATGGACAAGCATGTGCTTTTCTGAGAAACTGAGAAAAATAAAATCTACCCAGATTTTAAGAATGCTATAAAAAAACTACAAAGTTTACCTCCTTAAGAGAGGCCATTGATTTCTGTCAGCTGCTGTTGCACAGACTGCTCCCTGAGATGAGCCCTCATCTCTGGTATGCACCTGGAGATAGTGTTTGAATGAAGGACAGCTCAGTTCTCACACTCTCTTCCTCCAGCCATGAGCCAAACACAGACCCTCTGTGAGAATTCTGTGAGAATTTTACCCCTGTGCTGTGGGCACATGTGAATGAGCAGATCCCTAATAAGTGTATGGGCCGAGGATTGTATTCCCTTAGTTCATCTTTTCTGGGAAAAAATGGTTGATGGTGTGCAATAGGAGCAGACAAGGTTGTGTTTGATCCTGTATACCTGTACAGACAGGGAGTGCTGAGGAAGCTGCTCCCATCACTTCTAACATGTTGGCAGAACTCACTCACTGAAAGGACTGCTGTAACACAGCAGCAGTGAATGAGTAGCTGGATTCTGTGCCCAGAGCTGTCTCTGCTGCTGCATTCCTGGCATCTTCATCATTCAATGGCCCCTTATTATTCCAGTGGAGTTGTCAGTGATGATTTCCCTTCTATGACACTTTTTGGCTTGAAGTGCTATCCGATTTCAAAATTTCCATTTAATACTTCAGAAAACAGGATAAAAATGTAGCAGCAAATACAGTAAATCTTAAAAAATAAACTGGCTAGAAAGGCTTCCTTGGGTGGAGCAAAACTTATAAAATGCTGTTTTGAAAGTGCAATACAGTTTTAGAGGAGATTCTGTCATATTTTCTCCTCTCAGAAAAGGCATAACCCATCCAAGAAGAATTAATAAAAATGCTCCTGACAGAACATTAAACATCATTGCTCAGGGAGTGATCTGTCTGCCCTAACTCAGGCATCTAGTTCTCTTCTGGAGAGCTTCATTTATGGTGCCTGGCTTCCAGCCACTGCTCTAGGAGGTTGCAGATCTACTGTAGGTTCTATTCATATCTGTCAATGCTGGGAGGATGTCTCAAACAAATTTGGGTATCTCAGATGTCACTCAGTTTAGATGCCTGTGTTGCTTCCAAAATAGCTATAATAATTCAGTATAGGAGTGTTGAATCAAATTTATAATCTTGTCTCATTAGTTCAGATGGTGTGGGTTTAAGGTTCTCCCAACTGTCTGGCTTGTTGAACAATCAGGAAACTACTGCTCAATTTGTTCTTATGTTTGAAAGAAGCCTCAAAGTCCCCAGAAAGGTAATGAAACATGAGAGGGTTTTTGTGCCTTAGATGATCTAGAAAGAGTCTTTCACTGAAGGTACCAGATGACCATGGTTTTACAAGTTGGACATATTTCCTTGCAGTCAGGAGCAAACACCCTGCCACAGCAGGGCAGCTGCGCCTGCACAATGGAAGCCACAATGGGTCAGCTCCAGCACCAAGGCTAAGCAGGCAGTGCTGCACAGCTCTGCTCTGTGCCTGTCCCTTGTGTCCCAGTGCAGAGCCCTATTGGGCAGGCTAAATGTAGGCTTCTGAAACTACAGCTTAATACTTAAGAAACTGAAAATTTGGCTTGTAATTTCTATTCTAAAATATGAGGCTATATTCTGTGAGAGAAGGGCAGGGGAAGAGGAATTGCCATTTTCTGTGGTTGTATGGCTACAACATTCCTTTAAGCTCCTGTCCTCTGTAGCAAGCAGAGGGAAAGAATGCAGACAGTTCATTAAATGTTGTCTTGTTTGCAGCTGTTTGTTGTCTGAGGCAGTGAGATGTTCCTAATGTTGTCAAGAGTCCAGTCAAACAAAAAATAAACCCAAAACAAACCCCCTCTCCCCTCAACAAAAAAACCCAAAAAAACCCCAAAACATCAACAGAAAACTCCAAATGAAATTCAGAATAGGGAGAAAAAACAGTAAATTAGAATATCACTGAGAAGTAACTGTTTGAACTATCTTTCTTGCCAATGTTTTATCATGTGCTCTTATTTGTTCTTTAAGAGCACAAAAAATGAAATTTCATTATGAACTATTCATGCACAATGGATTACTTCTAAATTATATTTCCTGGTTTTATTCCTTCATTATCTTTCTATCAAGAAAAAACCCACTCTTTTTAAAAAGTAAGGATTTGGTCATTACCATTATTAACTCTTAGCTGAAATGTGACTCCTTGCAATATAATAGTGCAATTGGTCATGTTTAGTGTGGGTGGAGTCCGTGAAGTAAAATTCAAAGTCTCTCTTCACCAAAGCTTAGAAAGATTTGAATATTGCTCTTTGTTTCAGGTTACTCTAAAATGATCAATCTATAATATTTACATATTTTTAAATGCAGGTAAAATTATCTATTTATTTATAAAAATTAAATCTAAACTTGTGATTCTCAGTATTTTGTTCAAGCTCATTTGCACTTGATGATTTTATCAAGTGCTGTAAGAGATGATTTGTTCTTGATGAGAAACAAAACAAAAATTATTCTACTTGCATTGAAATCTTCGTACATGTAAAGTAACAAAGCCTGCACCCACCTTTTGGAAATGTGGTGCATATTGGAAACAATGCATTTTTTTCTTAAGTACAATTTTCATCTGTTCTTCATTGGGTTCTAATGACACTGTTACTTATTTGTTTTACACTTTATTCACCTTTACACTAGAGCTAATTAATATTTAAATTTTGAACTCTTTGAGCAGTTATAAACAAGCTCTAAAGCCTCACATCCATTTTGCAACTGAGAGATTACAAATAGAGATTTATGCTAAAATAATGGTTTTGACAAAAGGCATGGATCTCCTGCCAAAGGCTTGCCTCAAGAATAGGCTTTCAGATACAAGACTTCATCTGGTAGCAGCAGCTTTCTCCTGGCCCTCTCTTTTACAGAGAAAAGCCTGCTCATGAACTACACAGCAAACAAGGCAGCCAGCTTTGCAGTGGTGTTTAGTATTGAGCTGGCTCTCCAGATGCCACGTTATGGTTAAAGCTGACACTACTGTGAAGCTAAAAAGTTTTGCATTCAATCACTGACTGAGTGTGCTGGATCTGATCCTCCCCTATCACTTGCAAACGGTGTCATTAACTCCTGTGGAAGCACCACCATTGAAATGTGGAAACCCTTATAGCAATTGTTTTGCTGGCCACAGAAATCTTTCCAGTGCCTACTCAAAGACTGTCATACTGCTTAAGCCACATTCCTTTGGTGTTCCCTGTCTTTGTCTTTCAATTGAAAATTATGAACTATGTTCAAGTCTTTCTAGTTATAAAAGAGAATTTATATAAGAAAACTCAGAATGATGGAGTTCTATTCATACTGTGTAGCACTTCTTTCTCAGCTGTTTGATTAACATGCTTGCGACTTTAAAATGCACACAGCCTGAATGAGACTGTGCATCTATGAAAAGAAAAGAATAAGCTTCTTAATCTTTTTTTCCCCCCTCCATTTAGAGTGTGGTGGTCGTTTGAAAGCTGAACTGAAGCCCAAAGACCTGTACTCACATGCTCAGTTTGGTGATAACAACTACCCGGTTCAGGCCGACTGCGACTGGCTGCTGGTGGCCGAGCGCGGCGCCCGCGTCGAGTTGATGTTCCAGACTTTTGAGGTTGAGGAAGAGGCAGACTGTGGCTACGACTATGTGGAGCTTTTTGATGGTCATGATAAGACAGCAGTGAGACTTGGTCGATTTTGTGGATCTGGGGTAAGTAAATAGTTAGAAACTTTTTTTTATTTTTCATTTCTACAAAAAGATAAGAAAGACAAGGCGGAGGAAGGTAAGGGTCGTGAAATTCAGTTAAAACACCTTATAGTAAGGGTACTAGATTATCTACCTCATATTTTAATGAATAAATTTGCAGGCCTGTAGTAGTAGTGAAATATTTTCATCAATAAATTTTCATGTATTTTTTGACCAAGGTATTATAATGTTATGGTAACCTTTAAGGAGCTGGCAGTGGCATGTTTATCAGCACACAAATAAAAGTTAGCAGCTTTTTTCCCTTATATAGAGGGAAATGCATCAGTGTTAAAAATTATTACATTAAAGTTCTTTGAATTGGAAAGAAGCCATATTTTAAAGTAGGAGGGGCAGCTGGGGAGTATTTATAGTATGCTCATTGACTTTTAAGTCTGATTTTAGGAAAAAAAATATGCTCCTAACTTGGGTGATTAATATGGGCCTTAAGAAAGCCGTGAAATCCTATATTCATTCTGGCATGTTTTAACTGTAAGGCATGGATGAAGTTGGCCAGAGGACACCCTGAAAATGCTGTATCCTATTTCTCATTTTAGACTTGCATTGATCTGCTGGCTGCCTGCCTTGAGAAAACTAATGCAATGGTCCCACAAGTCCTCATCAATTCTTTATATGTGTGCCAGTGCAGGCACACTTTTGTACATGTACTCTTTGCCTAGATAAAATGCTTCAAAGACTATATAAGATGACGGGAGCTCTTAAGTAATTATGTGTCACTTTTTTCAGCCTCTGAGCTGGATCAAACATCTTAGTCATTCAGACAAGTTACCTGTAAACTGGCTTAAATCCTTTTAGCACATTTTTGAACACTAATTAATGATGCACAAAAGGTGCTTCCACTTGAGCTGCAGGGGATGTATTCTAGGGGAAATGCTACAACTGAGTAAAATCTACTAATTCACACAAAACAATATTTTACTTTGTTACTGTGTTTAAAAGTACAGGGGCAGCAAACCAGAAAATGGTCTGAATTATTTTCTTCTTTTGGGGGTTTGGGGTGGAATGGTTTTGCATTGGTGGTGGTTTGGTTCTGATAAGATGTAAATGAATGGCTTCAGATGCCACACGGGATAGATACAATTAAATAGAAAATCTATTGAAAATAAAATGCAAAATTATCTAAACTGGAATGGGAAAAATATGTATGTTAGTACTTATTACCACCCTCTCAACTTTAGAAGAAGGAATTGGTAGTTCAGCTGCTACTTCTGATAAATGTGCTTCAGTAATAAAATAGGACATCGTGAAGGCTGTGAAAAATAAGATAGAAAATAGGTATTGGCCTCTGTTTTTTATCCAAATTTAGAATATTGTATATGGTCCTGCCTAGTCACTTTCTTTCTCCAGCAGAACTAGAGAAAAACTAGGAGTTAGGTTATTTCCTCAGTCTGCCTCTAGCCTATAAGTGAGAGCACAATGAGACAGAACTGTTCTGTCCTATGATGACAGATGGCATTGTATGAGACACAGTGGAATTAGATGATAAGGTGTAGCAGAAAAAGAGAAATATTCATAATATTCATAATATTCATAGTGTATGAATACACAGAAAGGACAGATAATTTTTTTTCTCTTATTTATTTATTTTAGCCACCAGAAGAAATTTATTCAGCAGGAGAATCTCTTTTACTTCACTTTCACACTGATGATACGATCAACAAGAAAGGATTTCATATACGATACAGAAGTATAAAATATCCAGATAGCGTGCACACCAAAAAATAACACAAGAACCTCTATGCCAGAAAAAAAGAGTGAGAAAGAAAGAACGCACAGTGAAAGGAAGGAAGGCGTGTCATTTTTTAAAAAAACTGAAGTTATTAGCACAAATGATTAATATAAGTTCAGCTGAAATGCTGACTTATAATACCAGAGACTGAAATAAAATAAAAGAAGAAAATCACCTATCCCAGTGGAATAGTCAAGAGGACGATGTGCAGGCTCCATACTTGACTGTCTCTGCAGAGCTTGTGAAAGGACTTGGCATGCAGGGAGAATAGAAAAGCTTTTTTTCATGGTCCAGTATTTGCTAGAACTGCGTGTGGATTCAATCAGTATCATTCAGGGGAAGTGACCCTCTAGATTATTCTTCCTTCTGACAATTGTATGGTGTCTAGAAGGAAAAGAAGCTCTTTTAGGTCACACACTCAAATACTGTCCTTCTACCTAGTTGCTTTGACTTCAAATCCTGCGTACCGTGTGTACAAGGACTTGGAAGAAGATATGAAATGGGAAGGCCTTCCTGCATTGTTCTGTATTTTTTACAAATTCACCTGTCGTATCAGGTTATCAGTGTTTTGAAACTGGAAAATCCTACTTCTGAAACATAACTGATCTATAGAGTATTTTGTTTTACTAATGACTGAGAAGTCTGAACTGTTACATCAGTCATCACTAGTGACCAATCACTAGCTGACTGAATTTTAATGGTGTAAGCATCTGAAAATGTTTGGTTTACTGGTTAAGTAAGCTATCTCCGATGATGTGCTCTTATTTTGCACTGAATATAGAAAGAGACTGAAATAAAAACCTGTCCTGAATCAAAATCTGTATCCATGAAAAAGAGAAATGGTCAAGGATCATCTGAAACTCCTCCTACTGAATTTTTTTTTCAGCAGTACGTTTGAAACCACTGCTAAGCTTTATTTCTTTGGACCTTTTTGTGAATGAGCTATTTGCTGGATTCAGTTACTCAGAAATGAGGCTGCAGTAGTGTCCAAAAGACAAGTTTCCCAAAGAGGTTTTTGTTAGTTTTTTTTTCTAAGAGCAAGACTATCCATGATGGTTAAAGAAGCAGAACGAAGCAACAGACCCAGGATCTTTTTGATACCAAGTGTGAATTTCTATGGTGCTATTCCATGAACATTAAAAAAAAAAAAAAAAACCAAGAAGTTTTAGACTTTTGAGCCAACAGTTTGCAGATCATGAATGTCTCACTATACCTGGCTGCATCTGGAGAAGGAAGGCTTTACTGCTCCGATGGAAAGTGGGTTGCAATGGCAGTGCTATTCCTGTGGAACAACTACTATTATTGCCTTAGAATCCTCGCACACAATCAGACAGATCTTCCTGTAGATACACTCCTAATTTGATAAATAATTGGACAACTTGAGCATCTTAGCATACACTAACAAAAGGATCTTCAAGCAAAAGCCCCATCTGCAGAGAGAGATCATCTGCTGTAAATACAGAGACCTGCTTTTGATGTAGAGATATGTTACATTTAGAACTGAGATATTCTATGTGCTTTAGGCCGTACATGGCTCTAGTCATAATGTATATGCATTATGTAAGTATTGTATGAATGAGTGCTCCAGGAGAGTGAGAGGTATTGTATGGGTGAATATGGAATTGTTTCTTTATGTGCCAAGTTCTATCAGGACCCTGTTTGACTGTAGCAACTTTTCTTTAAAGGCTTCATAGACAGATAACAAGGACTTCTAGTTTGCAAGAATCAAGTTTAAATGAAGTATTATGTTTCACTTACAAGAAATATTATTTTGATATCCTTTGATGTAAGTTGCTACTCAAATTAGCTTAGTTTTTGTTTCCTTCTATGAACATACATTGGCACTAATAAATCTGACCTTTTTTTATAAAAATAAAAACTGAATGTCTGTATAGATCTCTTTGCTTGTTTTAACAGTCCTGTTATTACTCATATATATTTTTCTTTTTAGATAGCTTATGTGTGTGAAGTTCAAAAATTTAATCATTTCTGTGTTTTTATAATGCTGCTCCACTGTCTTTTAGCTCATTTTTCAGGTTATTTGATCAAGAAATGAACTACAAACATTTTCTCCAAGGTCTTTTACTACAAAGTTCAGGCAGAGATATTACTAAAGTTAAAAAAATAAACTGTGTATTCTTGATGTTGTTACATAATTTATCAGCTGGGTGGAATTCCAATGCTTGAATTTCTGAAAGAAAAGCAAGCAGCAGCAGAAGCAGTCTCCCTGGCATGGTTAATCAAAAGGAACTGGGAAAGTCTGAGGCTGAAAGCAAATGCAAGTTTCCATGCTATCTTATTTTCCACTTTTCTGTTCTCATCTCCCCATAATATTATCTCTCTCTGTTTGCTAAAGCCTTCCTTTTCTTTAATTTTGGCTTTCTTATTCCCCTCAGGATTACTCTAATAACCACAGGGTTGAGCCAAGATCATTACTTTTTGGAAAGGTTTCTTTTGTTGTTGTTGATTCATACAGGCCCCTGCATAAATCCTGCTGTCCTATATTAAATAGTGCAGCAGAAATGGATGAAGAAGAGGTTGGATTGGGGGCAACACATTATGGTGTATTTCCAAAGCCCTGTGGAAGGTGATTCTTTATGGTCATGTCGAAGTATTGCTTTTGAGCACAGCATTGCTGGGATTTTTTCACATGGAATATGTAGAAGTCAGAAGAGAGTAGTTGCCAGAACTTCAAATTCAAAGTTTGAATTCTTTGGTTGGTTATTCCTCTGTAGATCTCTTATGCTTCAGAGTGGTGAAAATGCAGGTGTTCCTAATGATTATCTTGCTGATAAATGGACCATATGGGTTCTATCTTCTCACTGGCCATGATCCTACTCAGTGCCTCGTGGTGCTATCAGATGCTATTAAAAACACAGCTATTTACAAGTCCTAGGAGGCTTTTCCTGATGTAATGAAAAATGACATACGCAGTGAACTCCGCCCTTACAGGGGAAGTATGCCTTATAACTAGCCTAACAATAAGAAAATAATGAAAAAATAATTTATTTTTGTTTTTGAAATTGTGAAAAGCAGTGTGGGTTATCCACATATGCAGATCCAGATTTGAGATCTAGTTACAGTGCATTTATTGACAACATTCCCATCAGGGTGAAGATGATATTTGTTCTGCTTCCTATTTGACACAAACTTTTTTTGACTGTGGCAAAGTCACTGGATTTGAATTACTTTTCCTGGAGCATATTAATAAGGTTTTCTTCTCAACTACCTAAAGAGCTTCTGACTTGCTGAGTATTATTCCTTAATGTTAAATTTAGCATAAAGTGTTGTTTTGATGGAATGTACTGGTCTGCATGGCTGACAGGCTCTTGGAGAATTTAAGTCTGTGGCAGACCAAATCCTGTGATCAATATCACACTTAGATTAGAGGGAAGGTAAGGTATGTTTGTGAGAAGCTTTCCTTGCGTCCTTAAAAAAACCCCTAAACAAAAGAGAGAAAAAGGTTAAAAAGAGTAAAAGTCACCAGTGAAAGCAGTTAAAATGGTTGCCTTACATGCAAGCTGTGGAGGTCAAGCTGAAGTGAATAAAGCAAGGTAGGTGCGCACACAACAGATTTTCTGTTCTTTGCTGGCCTTTTGTTACAGACTACAAATATTTGAGTAATATTGCCTTGCTGTGAGACCCATGAAATTGTGAATTGACCTAAGCATGGGTGAGAGCCAAATCAGATCCTTAACACAATATTGCAGCATTACTTTTTCATTTAAAGCAGATTGCTTTTGAACCACTGTAAAAATTAAATTCATTGGATGGAAGCTTTATCCACCTGGGGAATCAGTTCTGCACTTTTTCTATGCTGTTAGGGTACAAGTGGCACACCCAATTTGTTCTAACAGAGGAAATTGTTGTTGACCTCACAGGCTGTGTGTGTGCTGCACCACCACAGACAGTGGTCACCGCCGAGGCTCACTGGAACTTTTATAATTAAATGGTTATGTTCTGCCAAAATGTACAGATCTCAGAGTTTAGAGACCTGATATGTGTATGCAATTTCAGGAAAGTATTCAATCTTAAAATAGACCTGACCAGTAACCAGAGGAGAATTTTACTTTGACTTCAAGTCTGAAGTTAGGTCCAAATGAATAATAGGAGGGGATGGTTTCTATCACATTAGCATACCTGATCATACAGATTGGCAGAACCTTACCAAAGGACTTGCTTTGATTTTGATTTTAACATTGCTGATTATGATTTGATTATTAATTGGTTAGTTAAAAAAAAAAAGGAGAAGCCAGAATAAACAAAGTGCCTGAAAAAGCAAAATATAAAACTATCAGAGATACAACTAAATTACATTAAAAAAAAGGAGTCTCTAAAGTCAGCACTGTTACTGATGTATTATTTTTTCAATGCATCCTTCATATTCTTTAAAAATGCTTTATGATGTATTGGTTTCACCTACCTAGGGAACATTTAGATGACTAATTGCATTGGTTAGTGAATTTTTCAAACAAAGAACTAAAGACAACCTAAGAAATGGCTTGCTTTGGTTCCTAATCACGTATATCTGGAGTGACTACCCATTTGTGAGAGGGGGTAACACTGGGCTATAACTCTTGCAGGTAGAGATTTTTTTTCCCTTCTAGCACTATCAAGTTTTTCGGCTCTAAATTGTATACTTGGGACAACATTTTGATGTTACTCTGCTTGATTTAATTCAATTAATCAAAACAATAAGCAGCTGCTTAATATTGTTTCATAGAACTTGGATGAATGAAGCCTGATTAAAACAAAAAGAACAAAGGAAAACGCATTTTGAAAGTTAGAAAATGTTCTCATTTGCCCTGATATTTCATTCTGAGTTCACAAAGAAAACAAGCTCTAGCAGTGGCAAAAAATATTTATGGTACAGTGGTATTGGGTGGACAACAAAAGGAAATGTTAGCAAGGCTTGAGTCCCTCTATTTGGATCCCATTTCTGAAATTGTTTTCCCTGGTTTTTATTTGTAACCTATCAAATCTCATATAATGCAAGATTAAGTGACATGACAGACAAAAAGACGGATGATGGATTTTTTGTCTGTGTGACTGTCTTCAATGGCCTTCAGATGTAGTAATTCTTCCTGTGTTGTTACAACTACTGGAAAGGATCCCTGAATTTATGCATGTATGTTAGAGGATGTTTACTGTGTGATAGCAACATCTGAAATACAAGGAATGCTAATAATCATTAGGAATATAAAATCTTTCAGAGCACGTTCAATGACCTTTCTCTCCTTCCACAGTAATGTTTTCTTGAGACATGTCAGGTAAGTGTCCACACAATGAAATGCAATGAAGGGAAGTTATAGTGAAAAAGGAAAGATGAAAAAGACATTTTGGCTTCAATATGGCTTATCATTCATGGAGTAGAGTCAG